AACATTGTAAGATGATAGCACAAGCAAGATATATTCATAGAAAAAAGAAATGCTGGATTCAAGTAAACACTCTGACACATTTTTACTTGGATTAAATAAATTGCATCAAATATATATTACTTAATTCGTGTAAAATTATGCTAATTATGTAATTATTTACTTAAATCTAGAATTTTATTCTGTGTATAAGGGCGATTAAATAGTATGATATTGAGCTGATAAAGAAAAGCAGAAAGCGAAAAAACGCGGTAGAATGCTATAAAAATAAAAGGGAGAGGGAGGGGAGGAAATAATGTTGATCGTAAAAAGTTAAACCGTTCGTTCTCCTCGCGCGACAAATTGGCCGGCTTTGCTCGTTCGAACGACAGGAGAATCGACTGAGTGAGAAGAGTAGGATTCCGCGAGCGGCGCATCTCACGATGCAGGAATATCGCATCTCCGACCCGGAAGTGGAGGTACATACACGATGACTAGCGACATTGTGGTCTACCGTTTCTTACGTATTAACATTCAACGTAGCGCGATAGACGTCGGCGCTGGAAAACCGTTCCGCGCCTACAATCAGGCATTTCTGTACTGTTAAGGCTGCGCCCTCGCGCGATCCTGTGCACTCTCGGTGCAGCAGCGGAGAACAGCGAGCGTTCCCATCTCGTACGTGCTCCTTCGTTACATACGAATATTTTCGCTAAAAACGCAGTATTGCGAAATAGGCAACGAGAAACTTGCGTTGGACGTTTCTCGTCTCGGACGATATATATACACGGAAAAAAATTGATCTTAAACCGAGAATAGATGTTCTCATATGTAAGCAAGAATATTATAATCTACTTGGAAGATTTATTTCTTTTTTCTTATTGTATTGATGCAAGTATTATTTGAGACTAAAAATCTATAAAGATTTATAATATTCTTGCTTATGTACGAGAATATCTATTCTGGGTTTAAGACTAATTTCTTTTTGCGCGCTAAGAAAAATGTACGTAAAAATTTATTTCTAGGATATAAGGTTTATTTCAGAGAAAAGTGAGTTTTTATAATCATTTTCTCGTCATTGCATGGAGGATACAACGTTTGCATCCTCGAAATCGATGATTTTTGCCGTACACACATGGAAAAAAATTAGTATCAATATTCAGAACTTATGTTTTCATATATAAACAAAAATATACAATCTTATGTGAGTATGAAACTTGCTTACAAGGAAGGAATTCTATGTAATTCCACTAAAACGTTTTTGTTATTTAAGAATAATTTTTATGAATTGAAAGAAATATCGATAGAAAGATAGTTTTTTTTTTCAAACTGCTACAGAGCAAGTAAACATTTTACGTTCGTGTTAAGGTCGATCCTTGTTAAAATGTTTGCGTTAAATTTGTTAAATATTCGTGTGTTAATTTAACATATTGTGTCATCTCAACATTTTGATCGTCAATATCCAATGCACATTTTACACTTCAATGTCGATTAAATGTTGGACGATTTTTTTTATTAAATTTTGACATATTTGCTGTTCAACATATTTGTGCTAAATTAACAGAAAAATTGGAGTGAACCGTTTGGGAAATTTCTTACCGTGCACAATTCTTACCTAAATGAATCGTATTTCTCTATGAAATAAACCTTACATTCCACAAATAAACTTCTCAGTACTTTTTTTCTACATAAACAAAATATATTTTATATAAAACCAAGAAGATTGTTTTACTTCAATGTAGATATTGAAGTCGGACGGAACTTGCTTGGAATAATATCTCGTTGACTCGCTTTATTCTCTCACTCTGATTAATCCACGACGGAATCAGACGCGTGCACACTCGAGGAATCGAAATTATGCATTTGCGCGCGTGAAACTCCGAGAAGACTCCTCAGGCGGTGCATAGAAGTGGGATTCCGTGCCGAATTCCATCGCGAATTACAGATCGTCTAAAGTAGGCTTTACGTTCTTCACGGTCCTCGGTTCGACGGCGCGAGCGAATGCGCGGGTGCCGCTAACACACAGACGCGCGAGCGTGCGCAGTCGCTTTGGAATGCACGCTCTCCTCTCTCGTCCCCCGAAATGGCCCTCTCTGATCCCCACCTCGCGAGGCCCTTGCGACCTCCCCTTCGCCGTGCCACGCTGCACTGTGCTCTACGTAGCGTCCGTCCGTTCTTCCCGCGCCATGCCACGCGGCGGCTTGTTCCATTCTGCAACGCGCTGTCACACGGATTAAATATGCACATGGTGTGTGTGTGTGTATGTGTGTGTGTGTACTTTGAAAGAAAAAAATGTTTTAAACCATCCATTTGTTGGACTTTCAGTGAAAAAATGTCTGAAAACTCGAATTTAATAATTGAGGACAAGTGCTGGACAGTCTCGTAGTATCCTTACGCACAACGCGGAAGATTCCACGAGAAAGTATACACAACTCGGTTTTACATGAAAAATCCCATATGATAAAATATATATACTCTATTTCCTAACGTCTTATCGAGCAATCATACTCGATAAGATTCAGATAGATATAGCATCTCATAACATGCTGATATATTTCTCTCGAAAACGGTGGTCGTTCACACGCTATCGGCTCCTTCATACTCACGTCGATATAATATTCTCGGATAAAAACCGAGATACCACCAGATATTTTACCACCGGTGATTACTAGATGAACAACAACAGGAGGCAAGGGAATAAGACCTCTCACTTTCTTCACTCGCAAAGAATACTCGTGTTTTCGTTCGAAACCGTCTCGACACTGAACGGCCGCCGGTATTTGACGCGCGAAAGCACGAGCGCGTAAACGCTTGTTCATTAACAATCAAGCACGAGAGAATTAGTGTCGATGTTACGCCACGAACGACGAAAAGCGAGGAAGGCGCTTGAGGTAATTCGCTTACCTTTCCTTCTCTCTCGCGACTGCCCTTTTGACTTTAGCGGCGTCCCCAACGGCTGATGATTTATCTCCGCGCGCGTAGGGTATCCCGGCGACGCGCGTAATCCGGTTAATCCAACGTGACACAAGAGGGACGTTTGCGCGGGTTAACCGCGCAACAGGTGGTCGTCGAAGGTAAACACTCCGAGATACGTGTATATGTGATGCACAGCACAGCACAAACTGCACAAGCCCCCGACGTTGAAATCTCGCCCTGAGATCAACTCGCGCACGCACAGTGTATCTCACGGCTATCTCGTCACAGACCGAACGGTCCCTTCGAACGGCATTCTCTCGATCGACGCGTTCCAACGAACGAAAGAGTTCCGACAACGCGTGAACAAGAAGACCGCACCCGACGTAAACGCGATCGCACTGCACCGGCGGCCGGCGAATGACTGACTGACTGCCGGCACACGCCGGCTCGAGTACCCCGTCGACTCCGGAGTACCGCCTAGCCGCGGGGTAGTAATGACCGAATATTAATTCCGCCAAGTTTCGGAAACTCGTGCGAATATTTACGCGCTGATGTCATAGATTGTTGTGAACTATAAAAATATCAGGCAAGATGAAGCAAGGGTCACGTAAATTTTCAATCGAACCTTATTGAATAAAAGTCGAATCAAATAATGTGACACGAGAATTTCCAAATTTAGTAGAACTTTAACGAAATTGAAACACAGTTTATAATATCTTGTAATATATCTTTCGGCTTGTCAAAAGATTGATTCAAAACAAGTAATTCTACCTTTGGTAGAAAGTTTAGTAAATGAGACGATAATTAAACGACTAATAATATCGTTGAATCGTGTCATTGAATTCAATTTTGATATTACAAGAGATTGAAAGAACGCCCACTGAAAGAGTTCGACCGGTTAGTTCGCCGTATAATTGAATCCCTTGATGCTAATTTAGACGAATCTTTTTATATCATAGCTACTTTTTATCATGATAACGTTGTAAATGGTTGAAACGTTCCGATAATATATAGCTAAGTGCACAATTTTATGCAAATAAATACATCCGTAATTTATTAATTTAATAAATGACTCTATTATTTTCTTTCTATTCTTTTTATAGTATAGATATGTACATAAAATGTGAATTGTACGAAGAAATGCAGATTATATGCAGATTATAAAATCGTAACGAATCTCGCAAGACTTTCGAAATAATTAATCCGAAAACTACAGATTGATTTAATTTAACTTAAACCTAACTTAACTGTCTGTATTGCCAGACGCGGTCTTGCGTCAAGCATTCGTATTTAATAAATTTATAAATAACAAAATTTCTTGAAAATAGACTGTGATGGTGTTTCTTGGACTAAGCTACTACACAGAAAGCAATCTCTTAACAATGTGTGATGTAGTTTCCAAGTTTTGGAAAATATTCGCTTTTTCCTCATTTTTCCGCGAATTCTTTCGGTTCCTTATCTTCGTTTTTAACACGTTGAGTGCCACGCGCATTTCGGAGGAAATCTCGTTCATGCCAAAAAATTAAAATTTTTTGATAAGAAATATTTAAGTATATTAATTATACGATCCTGAAATTACTTATTAAACTATATAATTTTTTTAGTTTTATATCGTACTTTACACTGTCAGTCACCGGTGACTGACATTGCCTACACGGAAAGTTCAATGTCAGTCACCGGTGACTGACGTGGCACTCAATGTGTTAACCGAACATACGTAAATTTTTCTACATGAATTTTTGTATGGGACCGAAGAAATTCGTAGAAAAATTGGAAAGAAAAGCGGGTTTTTCTGAAACTTTAAAACTAGGATGCATAAATTTGGTCAAGCGCATTCAATGTTACCCCAGACAGCACAAAATCGGGACATGTCTTTAAGATATCTGCAGAGCCTACAGTGAGAATTTAAGCCTTAAAAAATTGACCAATCACAGTCGAATATGAGGAGAAGAATAGACTGTAATTGGTCAATTTCTTAAATTCTCATTGTAGACCCCTAAAATCTACAATGTAGAGTGTGCTAAAGTAAGTTAGACGTCTTATGTCCTGACTTTTGTGCTGTTTAAATACAAAATATATAACCGGATAAAATCTGTCGCATCGATACTCACCGACTTCTCCTTCGGCAGGTCGTAGAACGTATTCGCGAATTTCAACTTCAAAAACCGCCATTGTGTGACGGATGCGACACTTTGCTCAGCAGCTCCCAGCGTTCCACGAGATTTCCGTGGCTGTTTAACAATACATGGCCAGTACAAGAAGACTTCGGCGGGCGGTCGATGTTACGGGGAGTAACGATTTGAATCTCAAGCCGTTGCTTAACCAACGCGACATTCCCGGTGACCCGTTTCGTGCAATATTCCCTTTCGACTGCTGATTCGATAACGACATTCGTTACGGTAAACGCGCGAAACTCACGATGAAACTTCCGATAATTCACGAGCAAGACTCACCTTCGACGAGGCTGAAATCGCGGCTCCATCGTCCATCTTGCAACGATTGCGACTCTCGAACTGATCGATAGTATCGATATGCGCGATCGAGAGAGGTTATCGTAAAGTATTCAAATAAAAAGTCAGAAAAAGATCGCAACACTTATATACTTAATAATAAATTTCGGAACGTTATTCTAGACGTTCCTTGCTTATTGGGAAATATGCGAATAAAGTGTGCATGAAATAATATGAAATAATCCTATCCTACGGGAAGAGATTCCTCAATCGATCTAAAAATAGGTAAGTCCGCGTCAGTGTGACTAATATATCTCGCGAACGTAACAACGGGACGGGAGAAACAAAAAATACGTCAACGACATCGCGCGGTCACAAAGCGACACAGGAGGAGTCGTGAGCAACCGTGGCGAAATGATCGACCGGTACGTGACAACGTAGGGGACGCGACGGTCGCTGGCTATCCGCAAAGGAGAGTACGGCGTGACGTAAACGACGATCCAAACAAGTATCAGCTGTGTTGCAGTCATTGTTCCCTGGCTCGTCATCCGTTTCGTGCGAACGGCTTCGCTTCTCTGTGTTCTCCGTATTATCTCCGTTATCGAGTGGAAGGACATCGGGGGAAGACGGCGGTAGTGAGGACCGCACGGGACACGCGACGAGTCGTGCGAGCGCTTTTAGGTTCCGGGCACAGCAAGTGGCGAGAAGAAAAAAAAAAGAGGGGAGGCCAGGACGGGATCTTTTCGTACTCTTAACGCAATCGTGGCTGCGTGTGTGCTCCGGAGCCCCCGACCCCAGCCCCGGCCGCCGACCACCGACGATAACCACCCACGGGAGACAATAATCGTGTGAAAAACGGGGCGGTACGCGCATAAGCCTGGCCTCGAGCGGCGAGTCGGACGACGGTGGACTCGCTCCGCCACCGTGCAAAAGGTCCCGTAGTAGTTCTCAGCCGGCTAGCGCACCACCAGCGGACGAGAACCACTCTTCCTCCAGCCTGGACATGGATAATTATCGGTAACGTGTAACCTCCCCTCCCTTCCTCTCTCTCTCTGTCGACCCCCTACTTTCTGTCTGTCTCTCTCTCTCTCTCTCTCTCCTCGCGTTCTGTCTTTGTCACCTTTTCTCTCCTTCAGACTCTCTTAAAATACGCGATCTTTTGACACGCGAGTGTACTGACAGAGTGACGGAATTTTGACTTTTTTTTTTCGCTTGCATCATCGTCCTTGAATTTTCCCGTGCGTGATGATTTCCGAATTCGCCTGTTTCGTCCCATGTGTGTCATGTCCTTCACGATTTTCTTGTTTATTTAGCTTTTCGCTTTGGCCCTCTCTTTTCTATTCCGTTCGTCAATTTCTTTTCCCTTTCTCCACCTAATATATACAGCTCAAGTTATGACGAGGAAACATATCTACGGAAATTGGATGTACCGATTGATATGTCATTGTGTATCGTGGCATTGTCAATATTGCCATCATGGATAACATTCCAGTTTGCGCTACAGCTTAATGCAGCAGCAAGCCGCCAACAGTGGAGTATCCTCCGGACTACAACAAAATGGAGACACGGCAGATTCTGGTGGGTCGCAGATTTCCAATGGCAATTTGTTACCGGAAACAGATAACGATGTCAGTGGTGTGAACGGGGAAGCAAATCCGAGTTCGGGACCTCCAAAGATAATGGACAAAACTAACCAGGATATTGTGAGACTCATCGGGCAACACTTGAAGACAGTTGGTTTAGAGTATGTAGCATTGTTTTTCTCAATACACACTAATGAAACCAATCTTGTTTAGCGATGAAAGGTAACCTACTATTTCCATAGTGTAGTATTAGAACGTAAATCATTAGCTATTATTACAATGAGCATCATATGAGGGCATTACATAGTAATCATTGCTGGAGATATATAATAGCAACTAAGTATGACTTTGTAATATTGTTGCAGTTTGCATTCTAATCTTGGTAGGCTATGGAGATAGGAGGAGGATGGAGTAGGTCATTTTTCTTGATTACTGTAGCCATTTCTTTATTGGGATTTCATAGTTAGTCTTTATTATTGATATCTTTGTTCACGCACGTACGTACGTATCAAACTATTCGGATCTCATCCCGCATGGTGGGAGGAAGCTAATTATAGAACTTTGATATACATCTGCCAGTTATATTTACTTACTTTATAACAGCAGGCAGAATTGAAATTACTTTGGTTCATTTTACGCATTTAGAATAACATCACAGTTATAAAGTGTTTTGCAAAACACTTTAGTAACAATGTATGCGCGACACATTCGTTGTTACACGCGATAAGATTGTGTGTGCTGCGGTACAACAGCAATGTAACGGGAGTGTAAATACCACTTTCAGTCGTACCGCGGACCTGCTCATGCAGGAATCAGGATGCCGACTAGATCATCCCGCCGCAGCGAAATTTAGACAGCATGTTATGGATGGCGATTGGACCAAAGCGGATCACGACCTCAATGAACTCAAGTCTTTTCTAAACAGTGCGAACCAGAGTTTAGTGGTGAGTCTTGGATCTCCGCGCACGATAGTGAAACAATTTCACCGATGTTTCTCCGCGCAGGAGATGAAGTTCTTACTGCTGGAACAGAAATATTTGGAATACTTGGAAGAGGGCAAAGTACTGGAAGCATTGCAAGTACTGCGCAACGAGCTTACACCTTTGGGCCATAATACCGGTCGTGTTCATCAGTTGTCCGCATTTATGATGTGCAGTGGACGAGATGAACTACAGGTACACCTTGGATTAAAATGTTCGAATTATTAGCTGGTTCATAGAGAAAACGAACAACAATAATGATCAAACGCGCGTCATTCTCGATTAACAACATCATCATCTACGAATGGCTGTTTCTCAACAGACACGCGCAGGCTGGGATGGCAAAGGACCAGCCTCTAGGGCTGCGCTTATGGACAGATTGCAAAGATACCTGCCGCCCTCCATTATGTTACCACCGCGCCGACTTCATTCTTTGCTTTGCCAAGCCGTGGAAATGCAAAATCAACAATGCACGTATCATATAACGCATACGCAGGTAATTCTAAATCATTTTCTTTATACAATATCTCGCGGTACTGTGACACGGCACGCACGCACATATACACATGCGCGCGCGCGTGTGTGTGCACAGGTAAAATTGTGATTATTTCTTGGAAAGAAAGACGGAATGAAATTATCGTTAATATTCCTTCTAAAGCAGACGAGTCTGGAAAATGCCTCTCTGCTTGTGGATCACAGTTGTAGCAAGGAAGAGTTTCCGTGCCATACCATACAGGTACTCAATGACCATTGCGACGAAGTTTGGTATTGTAAATTCTCACCGGACGGTCTCAAACTCGCCACAGGTTCTAAGGATATGACCGTAATTGTATGGGATGTAGATCCAGTAAGTATATCGCAGTGTACCGCACCTCGGGGGAAAAAGAACGTTTCTTCGTTTATAAAAATCAGCCGAGAAACATTCCCGACTGTAACGATTAAGAAATGAAATTGCGTCTGTTTCGAAAGAAGACAAGAAGCGATTCTTTCTCTCTTCGGAGAGAGAGCAAGTGCGTAATCGATGAACACTTATCCGAATATGACGTGTAGGAAACGCTGAAAGTAACGCATAGAAAAACACTCGAAGGACATACGTACGGTGTAGCGCTAATTGCTTGGAGCCCCGATAGCACTCACCTGATCGCTTGTGGTCCCGAAGATTGTCCCGAATTATGGCTCTGGAATGTCGACACGCCCGATTGCGAATTGCGTGTGAAATTAACTCAGAGCACGGACGACTCGTTGACGGCCTGCGCATGGCATCGTGATTCGAACAAGTTCGTCGCGGGAGGTCTTCGTGGTCAATTCTACCAATGTGTACGTGTGAATCTTTCGAGACTGATATATTAACAGGATGTGTGTTTACCGAATGATATCCGATTTTTTTTTGTTTTTTGGAAAATTGGATTATTTTTTTTTTTCTCTCTCTAGGATATGGATGGCAATGTCTCGGAGACATGGGAAGGAATAAGAGTAAAATGTTTGTGGTGTCGGAACGATGGCAAGACCGTATTAGCAGCCGACTCGCATCATCGAATTCGCGGATACAACTTCGACGATTTGTGCGATTTCACAATGTATGTCCTTTACACGATGCTTGGGAGATTTCGATTGCCTTGATAACTTTCAAATTGGTTGTAGATTACAAGAGGATCACCCCGTCATGTCATTTAGCGTAAACAAAACGGACCGACTCGCGTTACTTAACGTAGCGAATCAAGGCGTGCACCTTTGGGACTTGCACGACAGATGCCTGGTGAGGCGTTTCCAAGGTGTCACCCAAGGACACTTTACCATTCACAGCTGTTTCGGTGGAGTTAATCAAGATTTCATTGCGTCTGGCAGTGAAGGTTTGTCGTGATGAAGAAAGAATTCTTACAAATCTTATGTTCCGTACAAAAAGGGGGAAATGCCCTCGTAATAATATCTCTCTGTTTCGTCGCAGACAATAAAGTATACGTGTGGCATATCAAAAGAGAACAGCCTATAGCGACTCTCATAGGGCACAGCAGAACGGTCAATTGTGTCTCGTGGAATCCGGTTTATCACCAAATGATGGCTTCCGTGTCGGATGATTGTTCAGTAAGGATATGGGGCCCAAGATCAGCTTGTCCGGAAGGATCCGATTACGATAAGGCCGGTGAGACGAGCTTCCTACTAGTTTAGAGAGAAATTGCTCCCTTCTCGCTTATGTACTTTTCGTCGTCGTTTTCAGCGCTCGAAGCCCCCCCTTCAAATATAGACATCTGGCGCGCGATGGTGTCGTAGCGAACTACAGCGCATCAGTGTTCCCATGACCTCATGGTGTTCAAAAGACTGTCGTGTTGATTGTCATATTGACATTTTTCTGCCTTCTGCAGTTGCCCTTCTATACCTCACTACTGTCGCTCTTAGCCACCATCCAACGCGTACGGAGATAATAGGAGGGATGTATATGTTAGCAACAACTGCTAACCATTAAAAAGAAAAAAAAAACCGAAGCCAACCATCGAGTGTAATTTTCACATTTGTGCATATATACTTTCTGTTTCATATTATCTTACGGATTTTATATACATCATGGAATTCGTTGTGTTATCTCGATTGAAAACGTTGAGTGATTTAATTACGAGAACTAATAATCGAGAATACGGTATAATACGGTATAATATAATAAAGTAATGTTATACGGCAGAGTAGAAAATGAAGAAAATTCCGTCTTAGAGAATTGGTGTCTAAAGATAAAATTATATCCAACAAACGGCGACATATTGTGCATGGAACGAATCCACATAATAATCTTGGAACAGTATCGTAGCGATATTACGTTTTGACGGGGATTTTGTCAGATTTGACTCTAATTGTACTGATAAGCACTGTAAAAAGATACAACAGTCTCGGGTCTCGAGTTTTATTCTAAATTGTTCACATCTCGATTAGTGACGTATGCATTGTTTTAATGTGTTATATTTTGCAGTTTTTCTCAAGAGACTATAAATTTTCAAGTATGTATTGTAATCTCGCAAGGGATTGTCTCTTGAATTCGTAAAATATTCAGTGGAGAAATAAAAATGTTGCTGCGTTTTCAGTGCAACAAACTACAGAGTTTAAAAAGCGATATCTGTAAATGTGCGAAATGTTTTTTTTTCTCTTCTATTTGTTCGAGCATTTATAAAGAGAAACGCAAGAAAAAAAATTTTTTTTGGTTACAATTGCGTGACTTGCACGAATCATCCAGTCCAGATCGAGTACGCTCTGAGTCTTATCGATACCATACCAGCAGCTTGTTCACAATTTGCTATGAATATTATGAAATGTAATCCGAATATGCATCGCGACCACATAAGGCCATTACTGGTTCTTGCGAGTCGAATGGAAAACACTCAACGGAGGAATGACAATTTTGCTGTTTCTCGTGGTACCACGCTAGCTTCAGAGAAATGAATGAGTGTATTTTCCCATGTTATGTATCTTTTCTCAAGTAGAACTTTAAGACCGATGTTACTTTCTTGGCAACATGAGATCCCGGCTGAGTACACCTGTGTCGATTAGTCCTCGATGTCGTTACCCTTCTTTGATTTTATGAATTCGCTTTCTCGGTGTTTTATGATTAGCGTTCCGAGAAACCAATAGCTTTCTACATATTGTTCCGCTCTATTTGGTCACGAGAGTCCGAATGCTACTTGGAACATTCTTGTCCTTCGCTATTCATTTAAAATATTTTATCAATATTCAATATAAAAAGAAATACGAAAGAACATTGGCCTTTTTTCCAACCAGAGTTTCCGAATTTAGTATTATCAGGAAATTGTGGACAGCGCATACACGCAAGTTATATATCTGTATCTTGAGCGCAGAGAAAAAGATCCACGTCTTCTTCATTTACGATAAGTCTTCAAATTTACAAATATTTCAAAATTTGTGTGTATGCATGTATCTGTGTGTGTAACATATATGTATACGCTATAAATTGATTGATAATATTTTTTAACTAATCTTTTTTACATAACATTTTATGAGTATATGTAAAGGAACGAAATTTATGGCTGAGTCTGAGGAATTTTTAGAATTTCTGAGATATTTACAAATTCTAAGACTTTTATAAGTGAAAATTGAAGAGATGGACAAATGGGATTGGTCCTTTTTCTTCCGAGGTACAAATACATATCTGTACTGTAAAGTTTATGTATTTCATATACACGTATATATTATATATTCGCTTTACGTTTCAAAGTACTCATGGTAAAATCCTGAATATATTTTATCCCAACACAGACGGTATCGATATTACTTGATATGTACTAGTTTCCTCGATTGTAGCAATTCTCTACAGATATGCGTGATAAATCCACGATTTTTAGAAATACTAACAATTTCAATTAATTTAAATGCCGAAATGACTGCGAAAATAACACGCTTATGTATTGAATTTGGCTTTGTCTCTTGGCGTCTCTTAGGGAACTGTACGAATAGTGAAACAGATGAATAGTGAATCTGGTAGATCGTGCAAATCGCACAAGTGGATCTCACCATTCGTGTAGTACTCTCGTGACTGCCGCAAGCAAGATCTTTAACTAATGGACCGCCGCACACTATTATTATTGTTATTAATATTATTTTTTATTATAATTATATATTATGTACATCATATTAGGCTATATATATGTATAATTTTTTTTTCTTTTCAGTCAAGCATTTAAAGTGAAGAACGAAAATGTTTTTAAGTGAAATTTAATTTATTTGTGTGTATTTAAACAATCTGTGGAATGACATACATAGGTAATGGTCGGACAACTGCGAATGTTGTACTCGTCTTATTAACTGCCATGAATTGAAGGATGTAACGTGCTATCTCTTTTCTGTCACTTATAACTTGACAATTGGTTATGCTAGGTGCGTTAAACGGTACACTTACTAGAACGAAGATTTAGTGTGGTAACGATATCCAAAAAGGAAATTACTAGATTTGCCTTGTTTTTTTTTTTTTTTTTTTTTTTANAAAATAGTTTCTCGATCATAAAGATTACGCGCGAAAGCAAAACCGGGACTGGAGGAATGAAATTGTGGAAAAGATGTGTAACTTGGGACGCAATGGCAATTAACGGGATGAGTATATTGAGGTGAAAACACATGGAAAAGGTTCAATTTATTTTACTGTCCGAGAAGCCTGAGAATATCGAGAGACGTAGGATATACCTATATATGTAAACTTGTACAAACAAAAGAAAAGAATAATAATACCTTTGCAACATGTACAACTATTAAACACATTTACATGCAAAGAAAACTTTTGTAGTTGGTGATCCTAACAGGAAATAACGTAATGTCAGTCATTATTATCATTTGCATTTTAGCAAGATTTACCTCTGGTGCCTTAGCACTTTACGATCCGTACGAAAAGCAAACCTCTCGCGTAACTCGGAACGTTATTTCACTCGTGACGGATTCCTGGGTGTAGCGAAATTGTACAGTAACAATCCCAACAGGCTATATATCTTCATAAGTATATCCTTCAAAATTCACTCGTACTTGATCTTACGCATTCTTACGTTAGCTCGACGATACACACGTTAATAAACTTCAACTAGGTACTACGAACCCCCCACTATTGTAACGTTGAATGTTGAATTGTCCATTTGTCATATAAGTATTTGTATATCTACCGTTGTACGATACTCTGAGAAAGAGAGAAAGCAATAATAATAGCTTCCGAAATTTTTAATTTTCATAGATAATTGTGCAAGTGGTTGTGTATAATTAAGGACGGAAGAGTGTATTACTACACGGTCAAATATCTCGAATTATCATTGGACAAATAAAGGCAAAAGTTCTCAATTGTACTTTTAACTTTGTGACAAAGTTGCATGGAACTGCGTTTGCATGTAAGACAGACTGTACCAAGTGACTAATCGCGGTTTCTTTCAGCCGCAGGTTCTTTTCAAAGTGAATTTGATGTCGATTTTCTCTTGGCGAAAACATGTAGCTCTCTTTGTCAACCTGTCTACGCCGCGAGTACAAAAGAATACTTTCGAACGCTTCTTTCGTCGATCGGTGCTTTTTTGATAAAGAACCTTAATATTGGCCGAAGAATTTTTTTTTCAAAGAAACTTCGAGTGACGTTGAACGTTCTCTACGATATAATCGATTTAGTTTAGTAACGGCACGCTTGTATTTTGGCTGTAAACGAGGAAAACAGATTTTCAAGTCACTTTTCAAACAAATAAATTCTAACGATACGCAGACGTTTTATCACATACATCTTTTTAACATAGGTAGTGAAGACAGTATATTTTAAGATAATCGATTATGATAGAGTATCTGCTTATATATACGATAGAATGATTACAAAGTTTTATAGAACGGTATAAAGCTACGTAAGTAATACGAAATATTCTACAAAGAATAAAACACATATAAAAAGTGTATATCAATATACCTTACTTTCGTGCAATCGTTAGTTCTTACTTCATTTTCTGCATCTAAATTAAAAAAAAGTAATTATATATATATATATGAAAACTACCAAATCAAGTGTCGATATATAGCGATTATATCAATATCAATAGTTTACATTAATAAGTTAATATCGAACCATGTTCTTCTCTCTCCTACATAATGTATAACTACTATTATTATTTTCTTAATTGGTTATTGCAAGTTCGTTATTTTATATAAAATTAGCACTTCTGAGAAAAATGCAACTTGACAGAAACTAGAGCTTTCTTATCAAGCGCATTCTTGAGTAATTGGCTTAAAATTGTACCAAACAGGTTTCAAAAATTGCATTTGTAAATAAAAAAAATCACATATATATAAAATGTGTATAGTACTCAATCAGTACTACGACGCTTATACTAATAAGTTGTCCAATCACCGCCGCTGTCAATTATTGCCTGACATCTTCGAGGCATACTTTCCACCAATGTTGCGGCATACTCTCGAGGTAAAGATCACCATATCGAACGAATATGTCGAGTCAATTGTTTCACTGTGTAAACTTTTTTTTCGCATAGCTTCGTCCTTATTAATCTCCAGACATTTTCAATAGGATTTACGTCTGGTGACTGTGGTGGCCAATCTAACGTTTCAATGTTATTTTCTTCTTTCCATTGACAGCAAGGACAACTCCGATGATTGTCGTCCTCTTGAAAAATACAGTCTTGACTTTGAAACCATTTTTCAGCGGATGGTATCAATGCTAAATTTCAACCATCCTTTTGGCAGCTAAATTCTCCGTAAATAGAGATAACGTGCCAAATCCTTGGCTTGATATGCAGCCCCAGGCATGCATCTTTATCGGCCGTTTCACCGTCCGCTGGAGAAGTTTGTCCGACCGCTAGTATTTTGTATCCAGAAAAAGGATTCATCGGAGAAAATAACTTTCTTCCAATCACGATTAATATTTTCACGCGCCCAAGCGATTCTTCTCGCACCATGTTTTTCTGAGAAAAGCGGTTTCTTCGTTGCGCTTCGGTGTTTGAGGTTAGAAGCTCGTACACGAGTTCGAATACTCGGAAGTGACAAATCAATACACGTTTTTTTCAGTATGGGTTGTCCTTGACGTAGCGACAGTCGAAGATTTGTAGAAAATAGCTGTATAATCTGTTCATCCTCTTCCTTCGATGTTTTCTGCGCCTTACCGCGGTCTGGCAGATCATCAACAGTGTTTGTTATTTTATACCGCTTTATCCACTTATTCACAAATGATTTTGACTTTTTTATACATTTTGCGGCCGCATCCCCGCGACATTTTTGGCCCTTTCGTACAAAGAAAAACAGCTTCGAATCTTTTGGCGTATACGGCACTCATCTTTAAACACGTTGCTCCCTAACGAAAGTCGGGCAATGACTGGGACCCTCTTTAATGCGTCGAAGGGAAAGAGCCCTTCTGTTGAAAAGTTTTCGAAAATAACGATTTTTCAAGAAACGAGTTTGCCCGGTCATATCAGACTGTAAAAATAAACTTTAAATTAAATACCTAACGTATCCCCTATTCAAGTTTAATTAAACATGAATTTGTTGAAAAGGAACACAAATATTATGTCCGAGATTAACTTAAAATTAATCAACACTGAAATAAAAATTTGTGTTAACACATGTTGAATATCGATAGAATGCTGAAATAATACAAACATTGATATTAAATTAACATATGTTAAAAATTTAACACGAAAATGTCAACAAGATTTTCACGCAAAACTTATTGTGCAAATTTAGGTAACCTGCTTAATATAGTAACTTGGCAAAGAGAAAACAATATGTGATTTTAATATCATTCTGTTAGTTTATTTCGTACAAATGCATTACAAACTACTCGAGAATTATGTAAATATTTCAACGGCGACGGGAAGACTAAATTTTTCCATTTCGAATAGTTATCTATTAACGACACATTGCCAATTGATTCGCCATAAATGCCATTAAACTAACAATGAATGGTGGGAAATTTCAATTAACACGATCGATTAAGAAGAATCGAAGTTCAGCGTTTCTCAAACCATTCATCACCATTTTGCGTTTGCACTGCTTTCAAGACCAAATGGATATCACGAGTGCTGACGTCAAGTCACGTATGAATAATAAACATAGGAAAAATGTCGTTTCGTTCACGAAGAATTGTGAAAGGAGAGGACGAAGGAAGTGGCTTTTCGCTCAATAAGAACGCGTAAAGGAAGCCGATCGATCGCGCATCTAAAGAACGTCATCACTGCACGCTCTTCGTATTATGGATCCACCGTTGGCGGACCTTGCGGCCGCAATTGGGAATCGTTAAAGGGATGTGGTGGGTGAGAACCGCTGCTGGGAAGAACGCGCCGCTGGAAGATCGCATACTTACGCACTATTTTCCTTATATTACGACACATTACGCTACGAGGAAACGTCAGGCAAACTCGGCTGGTCCTCTCTCATCCGGTAATTTACGGCCAAGTGGACGTCGCACTGCGTCGCCGCTCCCGCCATTGCTGCGCTGCGCGCCATTGGTGCGCGCCGTTACGAGGCAGCCGGTTGGTCGGAAACGATTAGTCGCAGTCGAATTCTCGTGGTGCGAGCTCGTCCCGACGATCCTTGTCTCGTTGTTTGCCAGAAGAAAGCAGAGTACTTCAAAATGGTCCACGAAGGAGAGGTGTGCCTTGTTCAGAACTCGGTGAGTAATTGGCTTTCTCGGCACACGAGGCGTTTTTCACGAAATAGGACCACGTAAAAGAGAGATAATCTTGGGCGTGTGAAAAGGCCCCCAATGTTGCCAGATGCCGATCGCGCCAACTTGAAGAGATAGCGTTATCGCGACAAAGTTGTCGGTGACGTGTAACGGAGAAAGGCGAGACGGTCACGACGATATTGATTTTCGCCGACGTTCCTTTTCAGAGAGATTTACGATTCAATCGTATCACTTTGGAAAGGGCACGGTGATTAACAGCAACGATGCCGGCCGTCTGGCAACACTGCGCGGCGTGAATCGTCGTCACACTTTTTCGCGAAATCGTCCCCGACCTTGGAGGCATCGATTCCGTCCCTTTCGCCCGAGCGGAGCGCGTTACACACACGTCAGTCGCAAACAATGCCGGTTACACCATCGTCCGCGATCGTATCAGGAGAATGACGCCTGGATGTTTTTTTCACCGGCGTGACGAATGCGATTGTTAATACGCGCCCGTAATGCGGAGGATCAAACGTTTCTCTCCTTATCGCTTGTAAATGACGTCAACACCCAGTAAGCGAGAAATATTAAATCAATCTTGTGAAACATTGATTTAGATCAACATAATTGTTCTTCTTAGCTGCACTGCTTAACTAGTGCAATCAGTTGAAGTGAGACAAGTATAGGTTTTCTCAACTCATTGCACCAGTCATTCAGCAATTAAAAAGGCCAAATATTTTCTAAATCTTTTTATAAAATCTGTTATTTAATAATGTAATATTCCTAAATATTATAGTGTAAAAATATTACTTTTAATGTTAGATATGTACAACTACATATTTGAAAAAAGGTTACAAAATATCATTGTAATAACTTTGTATTCATAATTTCATGCTTACTTGATATACACCCTATTACATCAATTAAGCCGCCGACGGAACAAAATTTCCTGTTCAGAGAATGTTTTCGTTTGGATTACAAAGTTTTTAAGACTTTGGTAATTGAAGACTCTGTTGTACTGAGTTGTTGGGTTGCGCATCTTTGGATACAATGTCATTTAGGCGAATTAACTTGGTATCTTTAGAGTGGCTGCCATCATTACTTTATCAGTAATGATTACTCATCTTTGCTGTTTTCTTTTTCACATGCCTGCTACTGTTAGCATATGTTATAACAGCTGATATTTAGCAAACAAAAATGTTTTCTCAAGGACTCGTGTGTCATCAACATAATTCAATTTTATAGGAAGACTTGGTTAGCAAGTTGGAGAAAGCAGGTGACAAGTTGGTAGTTATTGACTTCTTCGCTGTGTGGTGTGGACCATGCAAGATGATTGGACCAAAAATGGAGGAATTGGCAAAGGTATTTATTATATCATATTGATGTTAAATCGAATTGTTACATTGTCAATATAATTATACATTTATGTGTAATATAGGATATGGAAGATGTTGTCTTTCTCAAAGTTGATGTGGATGAATGTGAAGAAATTGCTGCGGAATATAAAATAACCAGCATGCCTACATTTGTTTTTATCAAAAACAGCAAAGTGGTATGTATCCAATTTGAAGTAAATCGACAAGTTTGATTAATTGAATATTAGACACTCGTATTGATAATACAAGTGGCTATACACACACACACACACACAGTTGTTAAAATAATTCCCATTCTTTTTTTTCAGCTGGAGACCTTTTCTGGCGCAAATTTCGATAAACTTAAAAATACAATTCTAAAGCATAAGTAAATCATTCTGTCACAGTTGTTTAAATATATTTTTAAGCAAGATTACCTACTTAATTAGCTTACCGTTTTACACAAACAATACATAAAGAGGAATAGCTCTTTGAATATGAGCAAAGTTTTATTTTATCTTGCTTTGTGCACATTGAAAGAAACTTAAAGCAAAGTCGGGTTTACCGCGAAAAAAAGGGTGTAATCAGCTTATAAATATATATATATATATAAACAATATGTTGAGTAAACAAAAGAACAGTTTATAATATTTAGATATAACGAGTTATGTCTAATATATATAGCAAATTTATCCACAACTGCGAATATTTAACACGTAACATACTGCGACAAAATTGAAGTTACGATATCGCTAAGCGTGTTATACCAATAGAGATCATGCTATGCTACAATTTGCACGATTAAATATGCATTTATAAATGTGTATATTTTATATTCGTTATCTGCTATTTCACGAATACCGTTTACTCGATATTGCTGAAGAATTGAAAAAATTTCTTAAAAATCAAGTACTTTTTGAGCAGTGAATTTGACTAATGTATAAAATCGAAGGAAGAACGGGAATATGTGTCACATGTGAGAGCATAAAGTAAGACCCTGTAATTTGCGAAATCCAGAAATGTGGTAATGTTGGATTATTCAAATGTAGACACCGGATAAAGAGCAATAAAATTAGTACGAAACAAAGAGTGCTTTATATGTTACAAAAGAGATCGGTAAATGTTTAGAAGTACTATTCCACTGAAGACTGTGTTTTTTGATAGTAATCGATAAAACAATATTTATACCTCTATGGTTCTAATTTTTCAGTCTTAATTTTCTTGTATTAAAGCGTCTGTAACTAATATATTGCTCTATTACTTATGCCTACACATTGTATATGTAATTTGACAGACCATCTACTGCGCGTCAATTCATAGGTTCGCATCATTTCTGCGTGTTCCGAAACAAAAAACTGTCGCAACCGTTCTGCGACCGAATGAACGATATTCGTTTAAAGTTTTCTCTTTAAAACGCCTGTATTATATTGTCGAATCAAATAATTTTCCACTCTGAAAACTCAACTGAAAGACGAAATTTGAAATTGAGCGATCCCTATTTTTCGTTTAACTCGAAATATCTTGGCGAAAATTAACGACGACATTAATACAGCTAATGTGGTTAAAAACTAGAGACTTCAAGTTTTAAAGTGCTTCTTAAACGATCTCCAGAGCACCATTTTTACGAAAGTTATGTCCAACTTCGCCCATGTTTTTTTTATTATAATGGATAGCATGTCTGGCCTTGAGTCATACTACTTGAAAAGTGGAAGTGCGACCGGCTTTATCGTTTAATCATATCGCGACCTCGGTTTCTCGTTAAGTATGGTGGCGACTCGTAGCGGAGATTCTGGAACTAAATTACGGAAATAACGGGTCTAATAATTCCGTTATTTCTGTACTGGGTATATTATTAATATAACGGGTTTACAGAATTATTAGACCCGTTATTTCCGTAATTTAGTTCCAGAATCTCCGCTACGAGTCGCCACTATATTTAACGAGAAACCGAGGTTGTAATATGGCTAAACGATGGAGCCGGGCGTACTTTCTATTTTTCAAGTAGTATGACTCAAGGGCTGGTCAGACGTACTTTCCATTGTAATGAAACATAGGCGAAATTCAACAGGCTGCAACTTTTGCAATAAGTGTGTACATACAATTTGTTTCTTCTATTACTTCGCATGGACAAATCAAATAATAAGATAGTTTTGTTTTTACAGGTTGACTAATGCAAACTCTTGTATTTCTTGTCGTTCGAGATAAAAGTTAACGAACCCCGATAAAGGAAAGCGACAAAGCACGCGATTGTCGGTAAAACAGTGCGTCAAGAAGCAAAGAGACAAAAGTAGAAAACAAGACGCGCATTGTGAGTTAACTCCCCCCCCCGTCAGCGGAAAAATCGAAAAAATCCCTGGAATGTGAAAAAAAACCTTTTCTTCACGTTTCTTACGAATGAAACCAAAGGCGGAAAAAGAATCGGAATTTTCTTTAAAACCATGACTACTACATTTGGCGATTCAAAGTGAAGTAGATACATACAAACGCTTTCCATACGCTCGACAGTGATGCACTGTGAGGGAAAATCCTACGTCCGATTTAACTAACGCTTTCCCTCACAGTGCATCACTGATGCTCAGTAATATTTGACAATGAAATTTTACAACGTCAGATTGGCAAAACTTTAATCACCGGAATAAATCGATTACGTCGGGGAAATGATCGATCCTTAAGGAAAAAAAAGGAGAAACATAACAATGCGATAGATCGGCCGAGCGTCATGACTCGTAGCAGTCTGTGCCAGTCGGGCGCGTCGGCATGTAATCGCGGTATACCGATGCTTTTATATAAATGGCGACCTTTACGCGGCTTTAATTATGATTCATTGTGTGGATCGTAAGATCGGGGACCGGTCTCATTCTCTGCGAAAGTCCTCGGTGGTGCGCGTTGTTTTACCTCGGCGCGAATGCCGACGTGTTGCGCTTTATTCCCGAGTGCGTTCAAGGAAAGTCGTACCACCTGATCGGTGCCGGATTTCACACGCACGGTAAGTACGGCCGATATATAAGTCGACGTTAATTCTATCGCAAATCATTTTTGATCACCGCACTAAGTTATCATTTGTGAGGCTTCGAATTTGTCGCGACGCTGCGCCGACATTGTGCGATTCTTCCGACGTGCGTGGAAAATTTCCTATACAGGTGAGAGAACATGTTTCGCGTGTTCTCTCCCCTCCTTTCGTGGAGATCGACGTCGGGCAATCTGATGTTAACCTCTTCAAGTAAAATCGTGCATTCTACACTGAAAAAAGGTTCTGATAACAAGATTTGCATTTAAAGAGAATTTTTCCAACACATTCCACTAGGTTGTAAAAGATGGCACCGTGTAGAATAGACCAAGCACTCCTATTGGAAGCCGGCGGCATTAGTAAGAGGGGACAATAGTGGTGCTTTCCTTGTCTAATTGACAAGGAAGGAGATAAGGAAAAAGGAGAGCATGGTTACATGTATTACGAACTAATAACTACGAGTGCACACACTAGTGTATTTAAGTGCCTTCTCACACAATCAAATACACATTATTCCTCTCTTCCCTTTAACATGTCCATTTTTGTTTCACCCCTCGATTATCTTACAAAAGGACGAGTTGTTCCTTTCAAACAATAACGAGTTACTAAATTTGAAAGAAACTTGTCGATAATAACTCGAGAGCGGCAAATAGGAAGGTCGTTAATGTAATTAGTTCCGGCGCGTCCAATTTGATTGCTATTTTAATCAAAGACACATTCGCGATTACCATGAATATGTACGTAACAATATATCTTTCCATCTATGTATGTTATCTCCGGCTTGATGTGTCGGAATCAAGTGCGTGAAAGTGACTCAACGCTTCCGAGTATTATAATCGGTGTCAAGTAATAAGTCTGGACAACAAACACCATCGGCAGCTTGACGAAGAACTTTGATCTGGCGTTGTACGAATCTCTTCGGACGTTCTACAACTCCTCGTTCTATGTCCAAAGTCCTTTATGGCTATGATCTCACCAATTTGATCGATTTGATTGATATCTGCGAGAACGCCACATTAAATTCACGTGCTCGAGATTGCCGATGAAGAGAAACGTGTATTCCAATACGATAAGGAGGGAGGTCGACCGAGAAAATCGTTGCAGCGAAGAGACCCAGCGTCGACATCAGTTTGTTCCGCGACAGCGCCTTCCGATCCTGACGATGACTTTCTCGTCCGTATTTTCATCCAATCATTTCGACAGTAACACCGAGTTATGACTTTTATATTCAAGTCGCAACTTTTCTCTTTGGCTCCTATTACCGCGAATGTTGAAAGAGCGGAGCATGCCGAATAAGAAAAAATCTTGACTTTGTGTTACTTATTTGATTCAATGTAAGATGCTCCCTAAATACCTTCAGTAAAATTCCGCTCGTAAAATACAGCCACGTCACTCGAGAAAGCAAAAGATTTTTCAATCATATAAAATGAATTCCTCTGAATGAATATTTCTATCGGAGAAAAGAAATCTGACGTATTACTTCGTCACGAATGTGCAAATCGACTTGACAGTTTGAGTGAAGCAGTCACTCTTTGCGACCTTGAATCATGCACTTCAAGTGAATTCTCACTTCTTCCGAGTGTGATTTTACAGCAAAAAGTTCAGAGAGTATACGGAGAAAAGAATTAGTATCAATTCACATATGAACAAAAATATATATAATAAGGTTAAAATTGCTTACCTAAAGAAATTCTATATAGTTCCGCTAAAAAACATTCCTGTTATTTACGAGCAATTTTCACAAATGAAAGGAAAAAATTTAGGATAGAAATAATGACGAAGTCAGGAATTGTATCAGAGTAAAATACGTATCGTTGTTTCTAATATTTCTTTCTCTTAATTCATAAAAATTGCTCTTGAATAATAGCAATATTATATTTCTATTGTGGAATCATATAGAACTTATTTCTGTCTGCTTATCTTCCAATAAAATTATATATTTTTGTTTATACAAATAGGAATGTGAATTGATCTCTTCCTATGCACGGGTCGCGATAAAAATAACTTACGCTGCTGTTGTTCCCTCGAGGGCTCGCACGAAACTGCATTGAACGTACGAGGGGTGTAAATGTTCTTCGAGCTGTCTATAGAATTGGGAAAACTACGGCGATAATTGCGCTGAAAATTGACGTACGTACGAATCGCATATGAACGTGTTACTCGACACACCTGCGCTCGCAATTTCGCGGCGTCGTCCTCGTCGTCTACTCCGATTTGTCATCATTACACTACGAATCGCCGTTTCCAGGAATAATTTGGCCGCAAAAAATTCAGGCGCGCTTTATAAACTTTTATTGCGAAAAACACCGTGCAGTCACGACTCTGATTATAATCTCGGAATAATAATTATGTAATGGAACAAATTGTCGACCGATACCGCTCAGCCACGTGGTCAACTCCAATCTGAGCGGGCTTGTTCTACCTTGCGAGAAATTGTTCGCTCGATTGTACTGCCATTTTTATTTGTCCACCTTTTTCAAGAAAGGAGTTTGTTCCTATTAAGAATCAAGCGGAGACGCGATATCAGCGAACATCCGATAGAGATTCCTCTTGCTTCTCCGATTGGTTACAATCGTCGTGTGTGTATCCAAAGCGGTCGTCGCTCACTTTTTTTGCGACAACGAAAATAACTAGTTTGGACGACGATCTCTCCGTGTGCATCCTACGTTCTTCGATACGAACCTCCGTACGATCTCCCTGCTGGCTTCATCGTAAAGCATCCCGAACTGTGCTGGTATTTTGTGCCCTCGATAAAAGTGGCGTTTATGATTTGCGATATAGTGCATTCACCGAAACCAGAGTTCCGACTTATAGCCGCGAATTACGCCAATTAACATACGGATTTAGGGCGGTTTCTAAGTGTGTTTCTATTTGTAATATTCGCTCAATATCGTACATCCTTCAGAATCATGAATCCAGCAATCGTGCTTTACAACAGAGTGCGCAGCATCGACAAGTACGCCAGGGAGGTTTTGATAACCTGCGTCGATTCAGAGATAAAATTCCATTAATAAAGTTTGCTCGTGTCGGAGGAAGAAATCTTTTTGAAGAATGATCCAGTTGATGATCTTGTTTTTTTTTCTTTTTTTTTTACAGAAGGGGATTTTTAGGAGCTTTTTTTCAGAGGGGAAATCAGTGTCGTGCAATTTTTACCCGTAGAAATAACATACGAGGCCACTATTAAACTTACATCCGTAAAACCGTTCAAGGAGAATATGTAAAATCTTCCGGCCATTAGATAGAGCATAACCTGGCCACGAATCATACATATTAAGAGAGACTTCTTGCAGCTAAATGGCATGTCGTACCAGTTGCATTGGTAGTACGCATTCTGCACGCTTATGCACTAAAAGCAACCGATTGACGAGTGCTCGAAAGCGATAGAAAAGAACTTTACTATCATTGAGATATGATTCGTTACCTGTTGAGTCAGTTGTTCGCCGATCAAGCAGTATCCGAAGAGCATGACGAGCGCGATCGCGGCGAAAAATATAAAGGTGCAGCAGGTCGCTAGCTGCGAGATTTCCAAGTTCTGAAAAATATATTCTTTCCTCGAATGAAATTCCACTCGAAAAGTATAGTGCCAGCCGCGTGAGATCTTTTATTCGTATAAAGTGAATTCCTCATTCTAAAGGGATCCATTCCGCCGCACAAATTACACTCGCTGCACAGAATTCGAATAAAGTTAGTCGCCTACATTGTATAAAAGGATTTTTAATTCTGTACGGCCAATAACGAGCGTAATACTAAGAAATTTGCGGTAAAACAGGACTACTCTAGAATTCTTACACGCTCGCTACAGCGCTTAACTTGAGAATCGCTCATTATACTATGCCCTCTAGCATATTTTGCATTTATTTACACTTATGCGTGTATAAAACGCACGTATTAGATAAACAAGTTAAATATTTTGCATAATGTATGATCTCCGGTAAGGAATGAGTACGTTAATTCACTTTTCCGAATAGTAGTATTATTCACTCCCGATTTTATCTCGAGGAATTTATGGAGTAAAAATGTATTATAATAAATATCACGTCAATTCACGTAATTAGATTAAATCGAATTATTCTTTCTCGCAACGGTGATTTCGATGAAAGAAGTAAAAAATAACGTACCATCAAGACATAATACATCGAGATAGCCAGTATAACGCTATTGCCAAACAGCTCATCCATAAGAACCATGTTGAAGATTTCGTCCACGGATTTCGCCATCCTTCGGTGAGATAACATCGACGAAGAAAGAAAGAGGCCGCAAATGAAGAAAGTCAGTCGATAATATTGACGATATTATTATGCGTGATTGGCTCACCATATTATCTTGAGATGCATCCGGACGAAGCCGCGAATTCTGGCCGCCAACACATCTCGCGAGTACACTTGTACGTTTTTGATACGATGCGAAAGAATGGACAATTCGCCGCAGATATGAAACACTAAAATAACCAACACGCAAATCGCCGCCATGTGGCAGACGGAGCTGTAGAACATCGGGCATACATAGAGATACATGAGTACGTATGTGCGAGTATTGGTGATGTCGAAGAACGTGTGGATTCTGGCGGGTAAAACGAAGGTGCCGTTATCTGCAGAGAAAAGCATAATATCAAGCAGCCGGTATTATAAAACAGATAATTTTCATATTAATGTAATCTATACTAATATTTCAGCAAAATTGAACGAAGGGCAATGTAGATAGAAATGAATAAATAAAATCAATTTTTATCTGATCTTTTATTTCCGAAAGATCGTGCGGCTAGCAGAATGATCGTTGTTGCTTTGGAGGAGCAACGAATCGACCTCTCTCTTCCGAGGAAATGTGTACCTTCATCGTCGGTCGAAAAATTCATGAGCGGTCTAAAGTATAATAACGCCATTGTGATGAATATGCCGACGGTCGAGCCGAAGAGGAATATCTTGGATGTGTGATTGTAATTGTAGTAGATCCTCTCCTCCTCGGCATCCTCAAACTTCTGCTCCGCCATGTCCTTTCTCACCACGACGATGATGCGTTTCAGCGGATCGCTGCAACGGATTACCCACACCATCGTGAAGGTAATGGTGAACGCCACCGTCTCCACGAGATTCATCACCACCAGCTCGAGGTCGTCGAGAACTTCGCAGAGATTCGCAAACGCCATAATGAGGTACAGCGTATAATACGAGATGTAAATCGCGAAACGGACATACGTTCGCTCGAACGGCCATATCCCCCCGACGGAGAAGATCCGTTCTAAATGAACAAACAAATCTTCGATATGGCCGACATCGGTCTGCAATATGAAGTTCACGATAGAACCGGCTGGTATTTTTCTCTACTTTTATTACACTTACAGCACGACTCTTTCGAGACTTGGTCTCAGCACACATCCTCTTCACTTTTCCCTTCACAGCAACGCCGAGAATTGGGCTTACGAAAAAAATTCTTTATTTTTCGACGGTAGCTGAAACGACTATCCGCAGTAAAAGAAAATCATCGCGAATTTGTGTTATATATATAAATTTGTTGGCAGTGAATTTTTCTGAAAAATGTTATTGCAAAAACTCCCTAATAGTGGAAGCTAAGATTCGGATCGAGCGTACGTTTGCATCGCGTCTACGTTACTTCGGATTGCGCACAGTTAAATGTCCGAACACGTATAACATAGAGCCGGATAATATTGTGTAATATATTTGCCGAAACTGATATTAAGCCGTCATTAAGCGTCATTTTTCCTAGCGATTATCTTACTGTCTCGCGACGAATAGCAAAAGCACTTATCGTCGAAACATTTCCCTCTTCTTTGTTAAATCTGACGTTTCGTGGAAGAACTATCACGGTGGTGGACTAGAAGTTAATTTTTAACTTCGGATAGTCAGCCAACTTGTTCGAGAAATACTAGTAACGGCAGTCGATCGTCTTCATGTGTCGCACAGGACGCGACAATCGCATGCTGTTTCCTGTCAGTTACAAACTGCATTGACGTGGTTTTACCTTTACATCTGTCATTCGATCCGATACCGTTCGGTAGTAAAATATTTAATATTCAGTGAAATATTTAATCTAACGAGAAGCTGGAAATTATAAAAAGCTATATATAATAAAATATTTATTTTGTGAAAATCATCCTTTCATCGTACGAGCGACTGAAAGGAGAAGGTGAATATTAACACGGATATTTATTTGACACAGTAAGTTTATTCTAAATTATTAATATAATTAAGAATCTCATTTATACATTATTCGCTCCGTAGAGAAATTTCAACATCATTTCATCGAGACGATAAGCACATGCTTAAATTTTGGCTTCTCACATGAAATTGCGCAACATGGACAAGTATGCCATCGAAGTTTTCACTATCTGCAAACAGAATAAATTGCAATGTGGCGCACAGTTTAAGTACAGTTTATTAACTCACACTCGTGAATGTGCTCAGTGATAACATGCAGAATTTGCCAGCGGTCAACGCCAGCGGTTTCTCAGATCGGGTCATACAAATGCTGATCATCTTCGCGCACGGCGGTGGATTATTGTACCAATCAGTGTTGTAAAAGGTGTCGCGCAATCTGACACTCTGGGTGAAACAAGAAGATTAGTATGGTCGATGGAGCAGAAAGGTTGTGATGCTTTTTCTTTCGCAACGCATCCATTAGAAGTCTCGTTTCGTAATTCTCGGGAGATTTCTTATTGCATATCGAGTGCGCTTTGAGGCTTATCGAAGTTGCGACCTTCCTCCCATTAACAGTGTGCGTCGACATTAAACAAAGAGAGAGAGAGAGAGAGAGAGTCGATCGGGGAAAAAAGAAAAGAAAAAAATCAGTTGCCTATGTCGACTTATGTGGCATCGGCTCGATAATTACTTCGGTAATGAGGCACTCTCCTATGTAACAGTACGCAAGAATCGTACTGACCACGCAGCATGTGTACATCAAGAACGCCACGACGGTAGTGGTGTCGCCGTATTCCGAATTCTGAAATGCAATTTCATCTTGCTTGCAAGCCGTCGGTCGACGATATCAGAAAATTTTAGCCGTATAGAATTAAAATGAATTTTCAGGATTGTATAGATTGAAGACTTTTCCGCTCGTGTGAAAGTAAAACCGGTTAAACTAGGCAGAAAAATCATACACCATTTTACAAATTCCGCGATAATTAATGAGATATTAATTAATCAATCTGAGCGAGTGAGTAGACGTGAAGCGATAGGACGACCTCTGCAGGTATGCATAAAGAAAAAAAAAATGGCTTACTTCCTGGGATTTCCTCGCAATGTTGAGAATCAAATTTTGCATACAAATTTCTCACGAATGCTTGAGAGGTGCGTCGTCTCACTTGCCGGTCAAGTAGGTAAGAGCTTGGTACTACAACATATTCCAATTTAAGCGAAATTCATGACGGCAATACCAGACCCTCCTTCTGTTAGTTTAATCCATTCTAACTTCATATGAGCGGAAGAGTTTCAGATATCCTACATAACGTTATTCGAAGCCTTCGTGCTTTGGAAAATCGATTTGACTTTCGGATTAACGCCGTGTTTTTCTTTGGCTCCACATTGCTTGTCCACTCTGATGAAGTAAAAAAAACTGAAATGTTCACGAATCGTTGGAAAGAAATTTGTGAAGAGAGTGCGACCCTCCATCCAAAAGTCAAATACATCAGCATAACGTTATTTTTTTGCAAAGTATTTATTATCGTGGGACTCACCGTGAGCATGTGAAACATAGTTAAACAGAGCAAGAAGACGCTGCCCAGAGTTTGCTGAAGAAATATCATATTGAAATTGTTTTCCAAGATCTCTGCTAATCTGGAATGCTCTGAATTCTCAAGAAGATCCTCGAGTGTTTTACCGCAAATTTGTTAGTACTATGCTTCCTGGTTGCACAGAATTAAAAGTCCTTTCGCATGATACACCCGTTAACGTAAGCGAAGACGGCTGACTTTATACGAAAAACGGGAAAAAATTAATTATTTTTTTTCTTTTTCAAATAAAGTCAACCGTTCCCGCCTGCATTAATGTGTGCTTTTAATTCTGTGCAGCCGATAACGGGTATAGTGCTAAGAAATTTGCGGCAAAACAGCAGCAGGATCTTCGTAAGATTATATATTATCCCCGATTGTGTTTTAAACTACGCGATCCTACAAGGGCCTTCCTACTATGTCGCACGCGTTGCCACGAAGGTTATTACGATTAAACGTCTGTTTGTCTGAGATAAGGGCATTTCGCCCTCCCTATCCTTATCGCTCGTTCATACGAGATCCATCCTTTTCAGCTGCACTTTCCGCATTTTCGATGTACTCGCAGGAAATCAATCTTTTCCTTTTTAACACGTAAAATGTGAAAATTCTCCAGCTTGAAAGAGGAAAAGATTCACGGCCGATCCCCTAATTTTTAACTAGGTGACGAACGAACGTAGCTACAATCGATCAAATCTCTCGTAAAATGACGATACATAAAACTCACGTTATTAGCTGATGATGCCTGAATACGACGGCATTGATATGGCGATTATAATTCACGTGGTCCTTCAACAAATCTTCGATTTTGCACGATAGAACGGCGAGTTGGCCGCAAATGTGGAGGGCCATGCTGAGTACAAAGGAGTCCGGTGCCGAATAGCCGCATACTATTAGTGGCAGGGCAATTGTCTGATAGACGCACATGCACAAGTAGGTGGTCATGTCCTGGATCTCGAAGAAAGGATACGTCTGGTACGGTAATTCGTACGAAGCGTTACCGGACGATACTGCACGAAGTAAAGCCTTCATCGCCGTTTGTCTTACATCGCGCAAACGTTCATTTTCTGAACGTGATATTAATTTTGCGTTAAATCAAATTCTCGTACGAATGACGCGATCGATCACGCAGAGTTGGGTAAGCTGATTTGTTACTCATGAAAAAAAGGAAAAAAAAATAACCTTCTCGATGAAAACATCCAACGGTCGATTCCATAAAGGATGTTCTCATGGAGTTTACAGCTACACATAGTAGAAATGCATACACTGCATTCAAGTAAATACTAGTTGTTTCAAGTATTTCATAAGTTTATATACATCGACAATTATATGAAAATTCTGAGGTAAGTTTAATCTCAAGAATATTTAAAGCAAAAACTTGGGTCTCTCTGTGAAATTTGTTCTCGATAAAGATATTAAGCGCCTTAATCTCATTGCGTTCACGTCAGAATACACAGAAACTCGGTGATAGCGCAGAAATAATCACTGTGAAACGTACGATATTCGTCGTACTACTCACTCGCACTCCAGTGTTCGACAAACGCCCGAATATAAAACATCGTAGCGGCGCTCCCAGCCAAGCCCAGCGACGCCTTGATAAATAATAGCGCAAACTCGTTGTACCGCAAATACAACGTTTTCTCCCGCGCGTTGCTGTAACTCTTGACTGAGAAATCGGGCTGAATGACATTGAGAAAGTCGATCATTATCCCGCGGCTTCGCTCGCACATATACATCTTGCCCACTATCATCATGAACAGTAAGCTCTCTGTCAAATTCGCGACGATATAATCCGGTTGGGTGAAATGCTTGATCAGATGGGCCGCCGCCATGGTGCAGTGAATCGTCGTGTAAACAATGAAGAACACGAACAGCGGCCGATTCACTTTGGTGGGCCATATGCCCAAAGGCGACAAGAACCGTCTGTTTAACGATATTACCTTGAACGCTCGAGCGAGTTCCGTTGTCTGAAGCAAAAGTCGTCGTAAAATGAGCGAGAGAGATAGAATCTGTTGTAAATTTTGCCGAAGTGAGTGCGATAACGGCAGAAACTTTTATTGCTTTAATATTCATTCGAGATACATTGAGTGAATTTTCAGCCCCCTTCAAAAGTAGATTTTATATAGTATACCCGCTAGAAATTTGGTCGGCAGAATTATAACAGGATCTGGTAGCGAACTACGGTTTTTAGCAAATACCGTGCAAAATCTGTTTCTGCAGGCTTGCAACATTCGTTCAATCAATATAACGGAATTTTGGGCCAACAAATTGTACCACCAAGCTCTGAGAATAATGCGAACCCAGATGGTTATGGATTTGCCACGAATCTGCTGCTAATCTCGCGGCATACTGCTAACATTTTCGATTTCTTTCACGTTTTCCAACTACAATAAGCCCAAAAATGCCAAGCATAATTAAAGGAAAAAAATTCGCATACTTGCATGACTCGCGTGCGTCTTCGACGCGTGTATACAGCGGACTAGCCGCAAAAGTCGCGCGGCCGCTCCGAAGTAAACTTCCCATCGAACGGAAGAGAATCGTTGATCACATGTGAAAACGAACGTATCAATTTTCCTGCAAGATTAATAAACCGGTCGTTTCGGAATGCAACGTAATTGTGAGCCAGCATTCGTCCGAAATATCGTGGATACACCATAATTACAGCTTTCCTCTAACGTTCTCTCGTTTCGCTTACTGCAGGATCTCGTTGTTCTCGTAATGCGACGATATCATTTTAGTCAGACTTGTCGTAACTACACATCATGTTCGCCAGATGTTATTTTCTCAAAAAGAAGAGAAAGAGAGACGGAAAGAATATTCCCGCCGCAGAGAACGACTCTTGGGAAATATGATAGTAGGCGCGCAACCATTGTTAACACGTTCATTGCCAAGCTGAGAATTGGAATTTCGTATTTTTTTTTATTTCTTTATTTAGTTTTTATTGTGCTCAAAATAAGTTTAATATATTATTGATATGCTTTTATTATTACGTACATAGGATTTATGTACTCTAAATATCTATTACGCGATATGGCGTGATTGGCCGTTTGGTGAGAATTCGTATTACGCGATATCGCGTGATTGGCAATTAATGTGTTAATATTGTTATAAATTAATATTTTTGTCGTCATGTAAACTCAAATGAGACGATTACACCCACGCAATATTTCTAAAATATTAAAAAAAAATGTAGATATTGAATATTCTTCTCTCTGCGTTTTCACGCGCAATTTTTTTTGGCATGTAATGAACAAGATAGTTTCGTCAGCGTCTAAACTCAGCCTAACGAACTAATAATAAGTGTTGAGTATGAGTCAACTCTTTTTCTCAAGTAGAGAGAGTTAATTATCGATATAGCGAAATGAATAATCGCAACGAACGAGTGATTTAAAAATAATCGTTCAATAAATTCGGCTGAATGAAGCACTCCGTAACATCGGATCCTATTAATCGCTCATTAAGAGCTTTGTTCCGCGGAAGTATCAACTTCGCGGTCGATATCGGATAAAACTTTCAAAAAAACAACAGCGATATTGAAAGGCGCGCTATCAAAAGATTTATAATCGCTGAAGCGTCCAACTAATTACTCGGGCTTCGCGTCTGATTGTGTTGCCGCACATTGGGTAACAGACGAACGATAAGAATGTTATAACAGTAGCGCGTGCAATAGAGTAACGTGCAGTTGTGGGCGAACGTGTCGGACAGATAGTAGGAACTATCCGATCACTTACATAACCGATTCGGTGAGTCTTTTTTCCAATATTTTTATTTCACCACGTTTACGTTAAATTACCATAAATTTTATCCTAAAGTTAAAAGGAAATGTCAAATTGCTATGAAGGAGGGAAATCGAAATTTGTCAAGGAATTTCCAGTTTAAAACAGGAGTTTTACATCAAAGATATATGCTTTAATCGGGAGCGTCAATAATTATAAAATATTTTTGCAGATATGAATATATATTAAATGTGCACACTTATGATGGAAAATAATTAAAAACAAAAGAGAAGCCTATTAAAAAGCATCATCATGATAAAAGACGGTCAGAAAGAATATCCGAAAAATCCACGACAAAGTGCAAATGTAGTTTCTCTCCTCACCTTTTGGTAAGAAAATTTCACTTTGGAACGATGGAAACTTTAGCAAATGTAACGTTTAATGTGTGTGATTCAATATTATGCAATATATATATATATATATATATATATATATATATATATATATACCATTTACGAACGTGTGTGACAATGATGTCATTGAGTTTATTTAATTTTATAATATAATTCAATTTATGTATCGATATTTAGTAAAAATACTAATTTCAGTTAAGTCAATATAATTAAACACGCAGGTGGACCCGAAAGATCTTTCGAGTTGGCTACAAGAAAGAGTTGGAAGAGACCGATCTTTATGCCACCCTTACGCAGGATGAGGCTAGCCGCTTGGGAGAACTCGTAGGTAAAGCTTGGGAAGCAGAAGTGAAATCGTGCGCGAAGAAGAAGAGAGATGGCCCGAAATTAATGAGAGTATTGGCGCGCTGCTTTGGCAAACAGCTTCTGCTGATCGCGCTGGCAGAAGCGTTTATGGAATTATTCTCCAGGTAGATGAGAAGAAATCGAGCGATTTTGTCATTGGCAGTTTGTTCCGTTGACAGTGCGATTCGTGAAACTCAACGAAGTAACATCAGTTCCTTCGATTTCACTATAGGATGTGTCAACCGTTGTTACTCGCTACTTTGCTACGATATTTCGAGAAGAACAAAGAAGAGTGGAACGACGAAGTTTATTACTGCGGAGCCGGTATAATTGTACTGTCTATCGTCGACGCTTTCATCACACATTACACTGTACATTGCAGCCTGCATATAGGATTAAAAGTCAAAATCGCTTGTACCTCATTAGTTTACCGAAAAATATTAAGACTCTCCAATTCCGTGCTGGATAATGAAACGTCCGTCGGACAGGTAAATCGACACCTTTATATTACACACCATAATACTTTTCATCACACCTATAAACATAAACAGGACCGATAAGAATGAAAACGTTGAAAAAACAAGCGGGTCACTTTCAGATGGTGAATTTCCTGAGTAGCGATATCAGTAGGATGGAAATGTCTCTGATAGATCCGCCGTATATTTTTATCTCTCCCATCCAAATGGCAATGATTATATATTTCATATTTCCCGTGGTTGGATGGGCGGGAGTGATGGGAATGGGAGTACTTTTGGTATTTATTCCTTTTCAAGGTGAGTTACGTCGGGAAAGGAGCGTGTTCTCTTGGAAGCAACCGGCGTGTAAGGGTGGAAACAATGAGATTCAATGTTTGACATGAGCAAATGTCTGGAATAGGCTACTGAATCGAATGTAATTTTCCAGTGTTCTTAGCGAAAAAGATTGCACCTTTGACGATTAAAACGGCAGAGAGGTCGGACAGTAGGCTCAGGCTGATGAATCAAGTAATCGCTGGGTTGCAAGTGATAAAAATGTACGTTTGGGAAGTTCCCTTTGCCAATCTCGTGGAAAAGGCGAGAAAGTAAGTGTTGAATTGCGACAAACGTTGCAAACACAGTTCACAAGCTGTCTCTTGTTATCACAAAGCGAAAATTATATTCCGTGTTATCAGTAGGAAAAGATTCCAACTTGATTATTTCCAGACGCGAAATGAAGGTAGTAAAGATGTTCTCCATTCTGAAACAGTTAGCTCTCACTCTTGACTGTTATGTACCAAGACTCTGCCTCTTCGTCACGATATTGTCATATGTTCTGTTCGGGAACTTTATCACTGCCGAGAAAGTGTATCTGGTAACGGCGTATTTCAACGTCCTACGAAACTCAATGATCTTTGGATTTGCAATGGGTAAGACAAAAATGGCCTTCTTTGTTGATTCCTTCGGTCAGATATGACATTTCATCTGATTGAGAGTCCTTCTCAAGTCCATCTTTACATGATCACAATCAAATGGGCTCGGTCCGATGTACTTATCGAATTATTTTGTCCCGATTTGCAACAATTATAATATTCGTAGGTCTCCATCAGCTGGTACAGATGATCGTGTGCTGTCGTCGTTTGCAAAACTTCATGACGCACGACGAGATGGTGAAAACGGCGGGCGAGCCATACCAAAAAGCCGAAAGTCCATTCGCGCTCCGTATGAGCAATGTCAATGCCAAGTGGCAGGGCGACGCCAAAGAGGACACGTTGCGCAATGTGAGCTTAACCGTTCCTCCGGCGAGCCTCGTGGTCATTGTCGGCACGGTGGGTTCGGGCAAGAGCAGCCTTTTGCACGCGATATTACGAGAACTGCCACTGGCGAGTGGTAGTATCGAGAGTCACGGCAGGGTAAACTACGTCAGCCAACAGCCGTGGATCTTCTCTTCCTCCGTCAGGCAGAACATCCTGTTCGGTCAGGCGATGGATAAGTGGCGTTACGACCGGGTGATCAAGATTTGCCAGATGGAATCGGATATAAGCTCGTTCAGCCATAGCGACCGCACTATCGTGGGCGAGAGAGGGATAAACCTTAGCGGCGGTCAACGCGCCAGGATCAACTTGGCCCGGGCGATCTACAAGGACGCTGATATCTACTTGCTGGACGATCCACTCTCTGCCGTGGATGCCCATGTCAGCAGACGTATCGTCGATGAGTGCATCTGCGGCTACCTGAAGGTGAAATTTCTTCGGATGGTCGAAATCCGTTCGAATGACTTTTCTCTCGCAGAGATAACCGATCAATTTATTATATATGAAGGAATCGCAGAAATTGATGTTTTTAATGAAAACACTCGATCTGCTGCAGGGGAAAACGAGGATCCTGGTGACGCATCAGTTGCAATATCTACCGATGGCCGATCAGATCATCGTGATGAATAACGGCGGTATCGAGCAGATGGGCACTTTCAGCGAACTGCAAGCCATGGGCCTCGATTTCATGGAGCTACTGAAGACGGTAGACGCGGAGGAGATTCAGACGAGGAAAACCGAGGTGGCGCAGAATTTGACGCGCGAGAAGAGCGTCGTCGGGAGCGACGACGCGGTCAATTCATCGGACGAAACGCGCGAAGCGATGGCGAAAGGTCGCATATCTGGCAAAGTGTTCTTCGCTTACTTCAAAGCGAGCAAGCGGCCCTTCATGATCACGTTGATGATGCTGATCTTCCTGCTGAATCAGATCATATCCGGCGGTAGCGATTACTTCGTCGCGTTCTGGGTGAACGTAGAATCAAACTCGTGGTATGAGACCGACAATCGTACGATGGAGTTTCTCTGGCAGGGTCCGTTGTCGCGTGACGCCATACTCTACGCTTACAGCGCGATGATCGCGACCATGGTACTGCTGTGGCAATTCCAAACATTCGTGTATTTCGGCGTGTGCATGTGGTCCTCGGTGAATCTGCATGCCGATATGTTTCGCAGTATACTGCGAGCCACCATGTACTTTTACAACACTAACCCGGCTGGCCGCATATTAAACAGGTGAGATCGAGCAGCTGATATCAATACGAGGCAAATAATAATAATATGTTAATCATTAGGTTTGCCAGGGACGTCAATATCGTCGACCTGATGCTGTCAATGTGCATATTCGACATCATAGTGATCGGACTCACATTAATCTCCGTAGTGGTGATGGTCATAGCGATCACTCCATGGCTGGCTATACCCACTGTGATTTGCATCTGCATTTTCATCTATCTCCGAGCGATATATATTCGTACCAGTCGTGCTGTTAAACGCTTGGAAGGGATAAGTGAGTGGTCAACAATATTATTATACAATTCCCGAGCGGAAAAATACATCATTATTGTTCGCAGCACGCTCGCCGATTTTCGATCATCTCGGAGCGTCTCTGCAAGGCTTGACCACGATCAGAGCGTTCAACGCCGAGAAGATGCTAGTGGCGGATTTGTCCAGACATCAAGACCTCAACTCATCCGCCTGCTTCCTCTTCATGTCCACTTCTCGAGCCTTCGGCTTTTATATCGATATAATTTGCCAGCTTTACATCGGCGTGGTGATCATAGCCTTCACCGCGTTCGATAGCTTAGCCGTGGTGGGCAACATCGGCCTGATCCTCACACAAATCATGTCACTGACGAACACGTTGCAATGGGGAATCCGACAAACGGCCGAGCTGGAGAGCCAGCTGACCTCGATCGAGAGGATTCTCGAGTACAGCCACTTGGAGGAGGAGCCGATGATAGACAGCACGCCGGAGACCAAGCCGCCGGACGACTGGCCGACGAAAGGCTTCGTGGAGTTCAAAGACGTAAGGCTCAAGTACAGCCGTGAGGGCAATTACGTCCTGCGGAATGTCACTTTCGCCGTGTCGGCCAAGGAGAAGATCGGTATCGTCGGCAGAACCGGTGCGGGCAAGTCCTCCTTGATCAACGCTCTCTTCCGTTTGGCCTGTGTCGAAGGAGAGATCCTCATAGACAGTATCTCGACCGGCGCGATCGCCCTGCACGACTTCCGCTCGAAGATCAGTATCATTCCCCAGGAACCGTTCCTCTTCACCGGCAGTCTGCGACGTAACCTCGATCCCTTCGACCGGTATTCCGACGCGATCCTGTGGCAGGCGCTCGAGGACGTCGAGCTGAAGGACACGATCTCCGACTTGGCCGCCGGCCTGGACACCAAAGTCTCCGACGAGGGTTCGAACTTCAGCGTCGGCCAGAGGCAGCTGTTGTGCCTCGCGCGCGCAATTATCAAGAACAATCGGATCATGGTACTCGACGAGGCGACCGCCAATATCGATCCCTACACGGATTCTCTTATACAAAAGACAGTTAGGACGAAATTTCTCAACTGTACGGTGTTCACCATAGCTCATCGATTGAACACCGTCATGGACAGCGATAGAATATTCCTGATGGACGCTGGATGTCTCGTGGTGAGTTACTATGTCGGATCCCTTCGGAAGAAGAATTGACGGAACGAATTGATTTCAGGAATTCGGTCAACCGCACGTTCTCTTACAACGGAAAGGACGTTTTTACAATATGGTACAACAGACTGGTACTGCAATGGCCGAAAATCTTATGGATATAGCTGCCAAAGTAAGCATTGAATCCAGCGTTTAGCTTGAAGCTTCACTCTTAACGAACTGATATTAAATCATTTTTTTTTTTTCAAACATATATACAGGAAACAATTTTTTTTTTTTTAATATCGCTTGTTGTTTAATATCCAGCATGTTGATTTGGACTTATTGCATATACTTTGCTGAAGGATATTCTAAGAATATATATTTTTAATTACTACGTAATCCTTATATATAAATAGTGCTGTATTGAGAAATTGTTTTAATCTTTTACAGAGTTTCTACGAGAAGGATAAACAACGACCCAAATAATAATAGCTTTTTATTAGGTGCCAAATTACTTCGCCCCATCCTGAGCTTATTGTGTAATTTCTCATGTACTGCGTATGTGACTTACACTTTGTGGTAGTGAAAGTTATTTTTATAAATTTTATTTCTATTTTATATCCATTTTATATGGAAAATATCTTCAATCTACTAGAAAATAATGATAAATATGTTATATAAAAATATACGCTCGTCTTGAAAATTTTACAAGTGTAAAAATGAATATTTCGTCAGTCCCATGTAGCATAAATGCTCAAAAGACATCCTAGAGACGAAACATCTCTGGAAGAATGTTTGTAAGATTTCCTCAGAAGATTTATGCTATAAGTATTCACAAACTCACAAAACAACAAAACAAACTCACAAACAGTATTTGATGAAGAGATGTAAAATGAACATTCGCATTGTTCGGTTGAAGACAATTCTTTTATTTTCAGAACAGAGACCGAGATATTTTTGTAATGATCAATGAGAATCTCTTTCTCTCTCTCTCTCTCTCTCTCTCAGTCGAGTATTAGGACAGTTTCGCTGGTTTAAATATTTGATATGCATAAATGTTATAGAAAATATTTATATAACAAATATATATTTGTCCCATAAGACATTTTGATCGCTCCGCATGTTAATGACACATCTCAAATTTAAGGTAAATAAATTTCCTATTTATGTCGGTTAAAAGTTTATTACAAAACACATATATATGCGCTAACGTTTCTCGTTTGTCTGTGTAAATATATAGAAATAATCTCGTTAATTCGCAGATTCTTTGCATTCACACAGTCAATTAATAATGTACAGTATATCGTCAATCTTAATATAATTATCCAAAAAAGTTTCTTCCTTTAAAACGTGTATAATTGTACGGTTACACAATTTTTTTTTTTATACCAACTATAAACATATTACAAATGAGATTGTACAAACGGCCAATCGGTATATTGCGCATAAATAAAAAACTTTTGATGGCGTCGCAGCAGATTACAAATAGATTCTGTGCCATATTTATCGTCACAATAGTGAACGATTTTGTAATAACAATGCATTATAATGATTTTTGATTCTATTATTGAAAGGATTACAAAATATACAAATAGGAGGCCTCGCACATCTTCTTGTCAGTGTTCTCTATCATAAATACAATAAATACAATATTAGCTGCAAACTACAATCACAAAGTCACAATCTGGGTACAATCGGATGACTTTATTCGGCCAATAAAGATGCAGGATGAATGAAAATTCGTTGTAGGGATCCAATATTTCGACATGAATTATATGAATAATTTGATTAATGTTCAAATTCGTTGATCAATTTTTAATATTGGCACGTGTTCTAATTATAGCTGAAAATTTGATTGGACGCTATCTCCTCCCTCGTTATATTTCATAATTTTCGATATATTTTTTTACGTAGATTCCACGTGTCTTTCAACTTTTACCATATGACTAGTCTTCGTCGAAATCATTTTTTTTTTTCGTTGAAATTTCTTTTATAGAGATTTTTCGTTGTAAGACAGTCATAATTTTAATGGTATTTGAGTGACATTGGCGATTGTTTCATATGCGACCAAGGTAAAACTAAAAGTTCAACGTGATATTAAGTAGTGTTACCTAATCGAGGCTCTCTCATTTGTCCAATTTTATAACAAACGCTTCTCCGGGCATGACGACAAGTTCTTTAAAATACACATTTCGATTTAACCTGTAGTCTGATCCAACGACAACGTGACCACCGTAATAAAGGGACGACAAGTCTTTTGTGCGTGTCTCGTTGCCAAAATTGGCCACGAACACGTAGGAATTTCTTCGTGGATACCATCGCTCAACCACGATCATTTCATCCTCCGCGTATCTAAATAAAATAACATCGAGTTCTTGAATCGCTCCTGGTCGAAAAAAAGTCCAAATTAATCTATTCGGATGAAAGTATTCAGAAAAAAAATCAATGAATATGTTTCTGTAACAATCGAATAAAATATTATTTTCTATCCCGAATTTGAGGAATTTCTCACACACATATTGTGGCCAAATTAATGATTTAAATAATAATTTAAAGAAATAGAAAGGATTCTGTATACGAAAAGGGTTTAACCTTACTCAGGTAGCAAAATGACTAGAGTTAGAGGGCGTTATATCGACGGCAATGGTAATCTGTAATATGACTTCTTCTGACGTTACCTTGCTACCTAGACAAGTTTTCTCAAAGATTTAAAATCTGAATTTAAGATAAATATCTCAAAAAAAAAAATTGTTTAAACTACCATTACATCGAACTCTCGAAGCTTTACCTGACATCGCAGTTTGCCGCAACTTGACTCTCCCTGAATACCGCTTTGACGTAAATCGTTGTCGTTTCCGTCCTCAGTCTTGTCATTTTTGGAATGGCGCCTGTCAAACTGGTCTCTACGGGTTTCCCAGCTTCCGGCAACCACGTAGTAACTCCTGCAGATGAAAATCTGCTGTCGGAGCCATCCTTCCTCTCCCAATACATAGGAACTAGATTGTGCACATGAGCCAAATCTTTGTGATCCTGACACTCGCAGTCTTCGATGCCTATCTGAGCGAATGAAATTTCTATTAATTTTCTCTCACACATCCAAGTTGGCTTAAACGTGAATCTGTTAAAATGTACACACATACGATACACGAGATATTAGCTTGAAAGGTTGGTAAGAAAAAAAAAGGGCAAACACATTTTTTGTAGCTCTTTTCGAACGCAGCCCATATATAGACATGTTCGAACCGTTAGTATCTAAGATAATTGACTCGCGGAAGTCTCGGGTTCTTCCAATATATATTTCCAACACATTTGAGCTGCTGCGGTTAGCCACACCTCTCTCTCTCTCTCTCTCTCTCTCGGTGCGTACCTCATCTCCGTAAAACAGACTGGCCGTCCCGGGCAGCATCATGCCGAGAAGAGAAGCCGCCAGGCTGGCGTTCTTGACGCTCATAGCGGAGGCCACCCTATTAGTGTCCACGGTGTCCACGGACCAATGTATCCACGGGTAAGCGGCTTTGTCGAACAGCATGCCTTTCGTGACGGCCTCGATCTGCGCCTTGATGTCCTTGGTGCCGTTGGTCATCCGAAGGGTCACGTCGACCAGATCTATTCGGGACAGGATGGAGTTCATCGAGACGACGGCGGCGGCGGCGGCGTTCAAGACGCTCGAGTGGCAGATGAGGATACTGTTCGGACGTAGGAGAGATCTCCAGTACCTGAGGCTACTGACGAACGCGTCTTCGTGAACATAGTGCTCCAGCCCCTTCAGATAAAAGCCATCCACCCCTCTCTCTTGCCAGACCTTTATAGCCTCGCTAACGGGGTGTTGGTCGCGATCGGACGCCTGTCTCCTCGCCTCCTCCAATGGCGGTGGTACGGACGACAGGACGTCGCGGACAGCTTCGACCGTCGACAGTATGCGCATCATCGTGTCGACGTCCTCCCTCCTCTTCCGGAACACCTGTTCTTCGGTTTGGTTCACGGCATCTTCTCCCAGGCTGCTCAAGCTCTTCACGAACGGATAAAGCGGAAGGTCGAGAATCAGGCTCATGTTCCGTCGGTGGATCTCGCGCGCGAGAACGGTGAAGTCCTCGAGTGTGCCCAACTCCTTGTTCACCTCCGTCATGTTGCTGATGTTCGAGTAGTACTCCGGGTAATGCGGCGCCGGGAATATCGAGTTCAGTCGAATCGCCCGCACCCCGAGCCCCTTCAGGTAGTCCAACCGCATGGTTATCCCGCGAAGGTCACCGATCCCGTCGCCCCCCTTGGTCGAATCCTGAAAGGATGCCGGGAATATCTCGTAGAAGGTACTCCCTTGCCACCAGTCCACTGGCGGGTCGCACCTTGAGAAGACGAAAAAATGGCATAAGTTTCCAAACACGCCTGTCTATTTCAGAAAAGAAAGACGTACTTTTTGGGCATCGTGGCGATGACGCCGATAACGAGGGCGGTGCAACCAGCCAGAACCGACATGAGCGACCAGAAGCACGTTTTGCGTATCAGCGGCCAATTCCACTTCATGAATCGATAATCCTTGGGCGGCTTCGGCACCATCAGTTGAATCCCAACGAGCGGTGGTTTGCCACCGTTCTCCTGGTTGTAAAACTAAACAGTTACGGCGTGAGTACGTATGTTGATGTTAGGAAGCGATAAGCGATGGATTAGTCAATGAGATCCCACCGGATCCGAGGAGGGGGTCAAAACAAACATACCCACCGAAAAGTCATTCTAGGGTGACCACGAAGTCCTGAGACTTCGCTAAGACGTGTGTCCTGACAATCGATTCTACTTCTGTGTAAAACTAAACAGACGTATATTTCGCGTGCATTCCAACGCCGTTGTCTTTATGGTCACCCTAGTTGTACCTGGTCTGTACTAGGATGCGCAACTGAGATAACGAACTCGGCGAGGAGCAAGATGCTGCGAGTATAGCTGTGCGACCACGACGCAGTTTCATTCACGTGTGATGCGTTTAGCTGAGTGTTCCTCATTCGTGCCAGGCAAATGTAAATGCACACAATGCATGTGAGAACATTGACGTTCTTTGCTTCTGCCAGGGGAAAGAGAGAGAGAAAGAGAGAGAGAGAGAGAGAGAACAAACACTCTGGATGTTAAACGCAAACAAATCGACAGAGATTGGAGGTGAGACAAGTTACGTATTAACTTTTGGTCTCTTTAGTTATGTATCTGTTAAAAGAGCTGAGAAGGTCGGTCTGGGAAGCGAACGGAGCAATTCTCGATTGACAACGAAAAGCAATTTTGCCGTCTCAATGTAGAGAGACGCATGAAAAAGTGATCGATTCATTGTTTTTGTTTTCGAAAAATGAAGAGACGAAAAAATCGAACAACCCGATTCTCATATTTTTCTATCCCTGTGTAAAACCGAGGGAAAATTTTATCCGATCTACAACCGTATTTACTCTCGACCGAAATGACTCCACCACACCCACGTTGACAAAAATCCGCGTGAGGTTTGCAATACTCACTAATGCTTGAGCATCTGGTGCGAGATGCTGGTAGGCAGTATTTAATTGCGTCAATAGCTGTGCGCAAACGGGTTCATTGGTGTCACTGCTGCTACCGCTGCTAGTGGACTCCACCATCGGGTCACGTGAGCTCGGTTCTGAAATGCATTGCACACGGTCGACCCTTTGCTAAACAAATCAATTGATATTTCGGCGAAATGATTTTGTGAAAAAGCTGTCGAGATAATTCAGCATGTTTCTATTCGGACTAACAAATAAAAGACGCGAACGAAACGCGTGACCAAATAAATCCGAACAAGTTCGGAAAGTCCGAGCTAGACCCGTGCTTCACCGCTATATATATTATGTGTAAATTTATATATATATATATATATATATATATAAATTTCAGTTTAAATGACAATAGTCAAGATTGACCATTCAAATTGGATCCCAGCGCCTGAACAAGCGAGCGTCAGCGTCGTATAACGGCGATTATGTAAGTCCTTCGGCTCGAGAAGATTGTCGTTGTGTAACGAACACACAGGCACGCTCCTCGTTTAAAAAGGAAACAAAAGCTCGGCCGACGTATGTACTCTGACGAAGTCTCTTGTCATTACAAAGATATACAGGTCGAATCAAATGCGTCTTTGCTTCGAAAATTAATTGACAAAAATGCAGGTTTCACCTCATCCTCGGCGCGACGATGCCTGTGTGGACTTTCCGTTATTTATTCGATAGAACAAATAGCTTGAAGAACAATAAACGAAACTTATTCTATTACATAATCATTCCTCAATGGACGGCCGCGTGAATTATCCAAAGTAACATACCGTCATGCAGAGGTTTACTTGAACTATTCACGATATTCATGAACGCGTTGAGTCCATCCTCTGTATTAATATTCTCTAGCGTTGGCGTGGGTATCATCTCTAATGGAGTTCCTTCCATCGCGTTGAATATTGGCGTCGACTGCAGAGTCTTATCTGTTTGGGTTGGCGGCGGGCTCGGTGTTAACAGGGGACAATCGGATGCCTCTTCGTCCTATTAAACAATTAATACGAGACAGTCCAGTGAAGCCCTGTATATTTTTCTTCGAAACAATCTTCGATCTCTGGCAAAGTATTTTACTGTGACGAGCAAATTCTATTTGTGCAAATATTGCAAAAAATATCTTTGATATTTCTAAATCAAGACATATTTATATAAATTGGGAAAAATTGAAGAAGAATGATGTAAAAAGAGAAATGTATGACGTCACAGAACTATAGCTTTCTCAGCATTTTAATTCATCCGTTGTGTAATTATCTCTTCACGAAAATTGTAAGAAAACTAATGGCGTACTCAGTGAATACCAACCAATGTAAATGCAATATAACGCATGTATTATGTAACAATTACGTTGTTACAAATGGGAAACATTGTGTTGGTTGGTGTTCGCTAGGTAGTCATCTGAATATATAAAGGTTTTAGTAAAATTTGAATTTATTCTAACGAGTGTGTCGATGATCCGAGAGTAAAGTTAAAGACGGTGTAATCGCAGAGATTAATAATATGTAATTAATATGTAAGATTTAACAATTAAATTCCCGTTGTGACTGGTTCTAAATTTGTCTAGATTCATTTAATTTTGACACTTCTGAACAGAACTGCAATAGTTTCGACATGCAAAGCACATAAGGAATGAATGAATCGCAAACACACCTGTTGATCCTGTTGATTTATAAACAGCTGTCGGGAATTCGGCGAAGGTGGAAGTTCAGTCGGTATAACCACCGATAAAAGACTTTCGGGCTTCTGGATACTCATCTCTGTTACGAATATTACATACGATATAATTTAGCGTACTTTCTTATTTCGCATCTTTTTGCTACAGATGTAGCATATTTTTTTCATGTACTGTTTCACATATTGTTATATATTTTTCACATAATATACTAATCGTTTCTCTCTTCTCCACTTCGCTTTCTTTGCGTATAAAATAATAATAATCGTAAATAATAATAATGTTAAATTATAAATAGTAATCTCAGTAAATAATAATGTTAAATTATAAATAGTAATTATAAATAGTAATCTTGTGGCAGCTATTATTTCTACGCTATTATTATTATTAATAGTTGTGATACCATCCATTTATAAATACGATAAAATGTAGATTGACAAAATGAAAGAGTTGTGCAATCTCCGGAAGCTTCATCGAGGTGGTATATTTTTAATGTTTAAAATTATACATACAAAATAATCTACCTCGCAATTTTAATTCATTCAGCGTTAAATACTACGAATAATAACGGTCACTCGACAAAATTTAACGATTCTTTCGTCTCCCGCGCGAAACATTACGGAGATCTTTTCTACTCCGTTAAAACCTTTTAGCTTAATATCTTCAGCGATACATATGTCTACGGTGGGAGAATTTGACATTTGAAACCGTAAGCTAACCAGCAGACTAATCGTAAATTAATATCGCCTTGTCTCGAAACGGAACGAAATTATAGCCTCGACGAAAACGATAATTTTCATTATGGCGCCTTGAATATAATTGCTTTTTCTAATCTCCAAGAACAATGCCATTTAATATCGTAACCGTAATCAATTTTGGAAAACAAACGACGTATACATATCCAACAAAAGTATTCCGCTATTTTTCACAACTCGTTCCTACAACCAATACATGATTTGAAATTGTAACTAATAAACAGATATATATTTGATTAAATTAATGAATTTATTCGTCTCTCTCACTCCCGCCTGACATTTTCAAAATTGTAAAATACCGTACTCTGTGAAACACGAATGTTGTATGACTTTGAAAATAAACTCGAGACCAATCGAAAGTCTTTTACGATAAGAATTTCCCGAACGAAAACGTCGTAGTGTGATGTGTTGATATGTATAGGTCGAAGCAAAGCCTTAAAAAAGATCCTCACCCACAACTCAGCGGACGACGACGACGACGACGTTCGAGCGAGCGGTGCCAAAAAGCCTCCGTCGGAAACACTGTAATTACCAGAAAGGAGATTGTCAGGAGATCGATGCGTGGGAAAAGCTGACCACCCCGTCCGGCACACCACCCCGTTTTCCACGAGAGGAAAAGATATGACACGCACGTTTCAAACGTCAATCACCGCCGTGGTCGCAGTCATTCCGCGCTTGACCTGCCGGCCGTAGTAAACGGCTAGTAGAATCGCGTGTCCCGCCGTATTATATTTAGCGATGCAATATCGTTTCGTTCCCCTCTGGCCGACCGACCGATCGACGTCCGCGCCCTCCGCGATTCTGCGCTCTGGCGACGACACGGTGCGCGCGTGCGGGATATACAGGGTGACTGCGAGGATGTCGTTCAGAAAGAAATTCTCAACGTGTTAAATCGACGTGTTGTCGAAGAATGAAGGAAATCGCTTTTTCACATATTAACTTCTTGCGCACGAATGTTAAGCGGAGTATCAAACTTGACAGATTTGTTGAAATTTCGTCAGATAACGTAATTCTCGCGGAATCACAGAGGGAGGGAATGGAGAAGGAAACAAGCGTGGAATAATCGTGAATTAATATCTTGGGAGGATTACTTGAAGCTTTCCCTCTTCGTCCCTCCCTTCGAAGTCCGCCCTGGCGGAGAGAAACTTTTGAAAACGGCCGATCTCATTGTCGACAACGCGCATGCGTAGTTACTTGAAATTTGAGACTCTCTGCTTCCGTAGATCGGACGTTAAATTGCATGAATATGAATGGGTGTGTAATTACCACGTTGGCGCCGATTGAGTCTTAATACGCACCAGTAATATACTTTTCAATGTCCCATTCTGGCTGCGTCCGATTTGTACGAATCATTCAATCGTCTTTATTGTCGGTCGACTATGATCAATTTCTTAAAATTGTAGACCGACGTGCCAAAGAGATGCCAATGAAATGAGCCATTTTGAAACTTAAGACGGTCTAAAGATCTGAATTCTGCCTAAGAGCATATACACCAATCAGATTCACGAATTTTACAACAGTTGCTTTCTCTGCTGAACGCAACCGTGCTTCTCACATTCGATACTGTGATTGGTCAGTTTTTTTTGCTACACCCATTGTAAATTCGGCTAAACAGATTATTTCCTCCGCAGTGCCCTCTTTGCGCACCCTTCCGTCGGTTCAGTCGATGTGCGTTACGAGCCCCGTATCTCGCGTTATCGGTGATTTCCATTTTAGGAAATCTCTTCGTTTCTCCATAGCATGATCGAGAAGCAGCCGAAAACGTTATTCACAAATTTCAAATTCAGTAGTATCGCCAAAACTTTCCTTTGGTTCGAGGTTTCACTGTTTGTCGGACTTTACGGAATCTGGCGTCGCATGAATTATTCACAGAGTAAGTCGCCTGTTTCTCATCTTCTTTTAGGTTATTCCACCTTGTGTCGCTGCATTCCTGACACATTATCATCGATTAATCTCAATCTCCTTCCTCGAGTGTCATTTCTCACCCTCGCGCTGTAGTACATTCTCTATCCGCATTTAAAATGAATACTTAAAATTTCTCGGAAGATAATACGATAAGAAAAATAGTTACGAAACGTCTCTTAATATTTTTCGATTGAAATATTAATGTGTAAATTAAAATGAAATATTAAGGGATTGTCTCTTTCGTGTCAAGTTACATGAGTGCCTGGGACGCAAGTTTTCTTTGTACTCGTTCAGCACATTTGCACAGTCTTAACATTCTATATACGTCAGATTTCAGGTATTATATGCGTGAAAATTACCCAAGTATACTAGAGCAGTATTACCTCTTGGGAGAAAGGATAAGTGGCAACAAACAACTAAGAGAATTTGATAATACAACCTGGGCGGAACAATACGATGAATATTAGATCTTCATGGCGGTCCCGGTATATGTGAAGGTTACAATATCGTTACTTTTAAGCGGAGGCATATCGTATGGTATATTTCGTGCTACTGTACCTAACGAAAGAGATATTATAAAGGTAAGGTTTATAGTTGCGTGAGTACCGGCGATAGAATCTGTAATGCATTTTCCATCAATATTAATGCGGATCAAACTATTCGATGAGTAACCGACAATTTAGCTTTTATTTTTACTAGTTTTTACTATAGGAATTATTCCAGCATCTGCCCCCGTTTTCATCAGAGCCACGCGGTTTGTTTGATACTTACAAAAGGGAAGAGTCCGCGGAATTGATGAAACTGGCGAAACTAAAGCGAGCCAAGGTGCAAGAAACTGGGGAGAGCGCTGTTGGGAAATAGCATTTCCGATAAAATGGATTCCAGCGAGCTGATAGAAGGCAGCCTGCCGGATCGCATTACGAAGAGAGACCGCGAACGCAGGAATGTCATCGAAAGGCGACGGGAGGAACGGCAGTCTCTCGCCGTGGAATCCGAGCAGAGCAGTTATTTCAAGGACACATTTTACTCCTCCTGCAAGAAGATCAAGGATATGCTAGACGACGCTCCCAGCAGTCCGTCCCCGGCTCTGCCGGGGATCTTTGAGAAATCCAACAAGGAGATCCAGCTGCTCAAGAACTACTTGTCACAGTCGAAAATGTTCTTGAAGGTCTACGACATAAGACGCGCACAAGAGAACTTGCAACTACTGGAGAACCAGGCTTCCGAGATGGAGATGAAGTTGCTGCCTAAGAAGAAGTTCGGATTCAAGAATCGTCGTGTGGTGAAGAAGCCCTCCGACAAGGGCCACGATATCACGGACGGTCTGAAGGATCTGAAAATATCCGAGGGGATCGTGAACGGTTCCGCGAAGCAAAACAACAAACTGCTGTCGAGCAAGTACGGTGACAGTGCTTGCATGTTGCTGGGCAAGACGAACGAGCAACTGGTCTTGGACGCCGAAAACGTGAACAAGAACGATATCCTCCTGTCCGACCTGGTGCACTGTACCGTGAGGATATACGGTACGCCCAGTACGTTACACATGGTGAACCTGAAGCGGTGCACCGTGCTGGTCGGCCCGGTGACGTCGTCGGTCTTCGCGCACGATTGCAGCGAGTGCACGTTCGCCTTCGCGTGTCAGCAGCTACGATTGCACTCGTCGACGGACTGTACCATTTATTTGCATGTCACGAGTAGGGCGATCATAGAGGATTGTACAAAGATACGGGTAGCACCTTATAACTGGTCTTATGAGGATCAGACGAGTCACTTCAATCTAGCCGGCCTCGATCCGAAAGTCAACAATTGGAACTGCATCGACGACTTCAATTGGCTGTCCAGCGAGAGGCACTCGCCGAATTGGTCCGTTCTCGAGCCGGAGCTTCGTGTGAAAACGTGGGATTAAATAGAGAGATACTTTGTGGGAGACAGCTGTAGACAGGAAGCTAATTCTTTATTTTCCAAATACACGAGCTATTATCGACGTATATTTACGTAAATGAAATTACCCACATGTATACTACTGCTTTTTCACGCGCAAGCCGTGTAAGTGTTTTATATACTTACAATGTCTAATAAATTTACCGTTTATGCAATATATAGGAATACGTTTGGATTTTGTTCAACTTTCTTTTATTCCCCGCAATGTTTGTTCAAATTAAAAAGTTGACTTGAAACATGTGCCAATAATTACATGTGTGCTTATTTCGTATGTATAGTTTTTTTCATGAAATAAAAAAAAAAGGAAACGTAAAAATATTTTAATGAAGAAACAACTTAAATGAAGCATTCATTGATTAGATGATAAGCTTCTTCACCCGAGGAGTTTACCGACCAACTTTCAACTCTTACCGAGACTGTCCCGAAAATTACAAAGTATTCTGTTCGTCGCGAAATTTGTACTTGTTCTGCAAGAATGACAATAATGCACAGATAAAAGGAACGAATTTGAATTTCTAATGTGCGCGCGATATCTCCCACCAGATGGAGACACCGCGGACATTCCATCGTTGATTGAGTCGCGAGATTTCCACTCGTAACCTCCTTTCCGAAAGGTATATTGAAACGGATAGACGATGGCAAGGCTCGTTGGAAAAAGCACCGAATTGGTGAAAGGTACGGACAATTTTTTCAGATATTTTATCATTAAGTATTTTGCGCCATACGGTTGTTCAATCGTTGAGCAAGAATGAAATTTATCGTAGCTCATGCATGCGCATTATATAATACTACCTGTCAAATTTCTATTAAATTATCACCGATTTGTACGCAATATTCGCAACAAAAGTTCGGTATTCCCGCTTCTGTTGTTGGTCTGACACCTGTCTCGTAAAATCATCCTTTTTAGCGTGTACACCTACATTGAGGTTATACTTTTCATGTGTGATGCTCATGGAATCACAAGACACACAAAACTTTAATTGAATATTAATCGAACGTTGACTTTTCTTTCAGCTGGTGTCAAGTTTAGTATCGATAACATAATACCCGTACTCAAAGTATGGCAGCAGTACGCTATGGTAGAACTGACACCACCCTCACCGAGGGACTTCTCTGCGATTCGTAGCGGTTTTGCGAAATTGATCGAAGGAGCAAAGACCCGCCGTTATCGTGACGTTACCGTACGTGAAGGTGTCATAAATACTTTAGTAGCTGCTGAAATATATTGTTGGTTCTTCGTCGGAGAATGTATCGGAAAGCGATATTTGCTTGGATACAAAGCATAAATATATTTCATCTCTCAGATAGACATAATCTTGTATAAATTATAGATCTCGTAAATATACAAATGTAAATTAGACTTTCCATCTTTAATGATTGTAACAAGTAGTGCATTCACTCATCATTGTCCTCGTAAGGATGGTTGCTTTAATGTATGTTGGCTCACGTACTGCCATATGCAGATTGCAGCGGTAACGTGAACGTTCAACGACCGTATCACACCTACTTGAGGTATTTCCACACAAGCGTCAAAGAGGGGTATCAAGTTTGCAGGCATACCATCTTTCTCGTTCCTACGAAACGTCATCCTGATTACACAAATCTTAAAGTAATGCTTTGCAAGCTGAGAGATTGATTTACCCTAACACGAGAATTGTCTTTTTCTCGAATTTCGCCTCGAATAAGTTTACGCTATTGGCTGTTTGTTCGGCACCAATTAATGACCATCCTGCATTTTTCTTTTCCAATAAATATTGTTGTAACTCGTGCGATTTCACCTAGATATTTCAAAACACTGTAATGTTATTCGAAAATATCCATGAACGAGTCTACGTTAAAACAAGAAAACTAAATCGGATTATATGGCTGATGGAATAGTGTTGATTGAAAATCTCCATTTTTCAAGAATACGCCTTTAAAGTGATATACCATTTGAGTACCTGTAGCAGACTTATCCATCTTTCGGCGGACACACTGAGGCATTGAAATTCCCTGTCCTTTACACAATCCAAATTTGCAATGACTAGTAACTTAACTCCAAATATTTCGCACGTTCTTGCAATTCCACCTAAATTCGGCGGTCGACTAACGAGAGATGCTACAACTATCAGACCTTCTTCGTGTAAGTCTCGCCGGTGTATGGATTCTTCTGTTGCTCCAAAATTATCACTGTATACCGGAACTGTAAACGGGTCAATCTTCCTTTGAATATTGTGTAAACCTTCCATGTGAATTTCAACATTGTTCGCCAACGACTCCGCGTCACCTAGAATATTACTTTATTTTATATCCCATTGTCGTCACACGCTATTATTACTTCTTGAATTTACCTGTGGAAGATTTCATGAGATACATAGAAGCAGTAGTTTCGGATAGGAACGAATTGACATTGTAGAGCTGCAGGGGATGATTATCGTTTCGCGCAAACATGAAAGCTTTAAACACATCCGGGCTGATCCACTCGTCGCAACTTACATTAGTTAGTCGTGGTAATTCCAAGTAAATCGTCTACGGGTATCGTAAAAAAATAATATACATAATTTCTCGTTAAACCTGTTCAATATTCTCGCCTTTTTTCTCTCAAGTAAGCAATGTATACCTGCAAACTGTAATCATCGATTGGATGAAAACCGGAAAAGTAAAAATCGTCCTGTATCTTTGTGGAATTCTTCGTCGAGCTTGTTTGTTGCAAGCTAGCTTTAGCCGCCTGATACATGCCATTGTAGCCATCATTTGTTTGTTTCATTAATTCACGCAGCCGCACCAGAATAAACTATATTAAAAAATCATAATTCCCTGTAAGCAGGGAATGCTTACGCGAATAACGAACGGGTGTGTTTCGATCCAATGCTTACCAGATTTTACTTGCCTGGTTATAGAGACGCATATTAAATTGTTGGCCTAAACAACATTGCGCTACGTACGGCAGAGCTGTTCTGATAAAAGTTTCCCGGTTGGTACCTGAAAGAAGTCGCGCGACGTGGTACACAATACTTGCCACAGAAACTGTACATCCCGGTCGTTTTTCTATACTCTAGAAATACACATTATGACACAGATATTTGATACAATATGTTGCGAATAAGATGATAAATTTATAAAGTCCAACTACCTCTGCGAAAAATATCCACAATTCATTGTGTAGATCGCTATTTCTTCTCAAGATTCGTACCATCAGCCATTCTTGCATCAATCTCACGCTATGCTGATTGCTTTCCGAAAAAATCGATTCACTCAATTTTTTTCGTAGCAGAATCACGAGCTCCTATAAAACAATTATCGATTGATTTTCTGGTAAAAGGAAAGATAAAATTATCCACATCTTAACCGACCGTTAGTCGGCTTTAAGAACTCACCTCACTCATGACCGGTTCTAATATTAATAAAATCTGCATTAGTCTATGCTTTAATTTATGTATGTAGGAATCGTTGAAGTATCTCTTGTTTCTGTACTTGTCCAACATTTCGAATATAAGTGGCACAACGGTCGTCGCATAATTTAACACAGGATAACTAACTATTCTATGCAGCAATATCGTCGCCGATGCTCTAACTGCAGCATCGTTATTATGATCTCTATCGACAAGATAAATCTCAATAAGAATGATATGAAAGAATTGTTGAAATTAATTACTTGTTAGATGGGACATTTATTTCCACCACGTACGAAAGAACATTGAAGATTATCCAGTTAGACGAGAGAGAAGGAGTCCGGAACACTCGCGATATTATTTGTGTAAAATAAAAAAAAGAACATTTGACGATAATTACAATGTTAGAATATGCTCGGGGAAATGTTGTCCCAGATGCTTGGCGATGAACAAGTGAACATGATTTTCGACTCTTTCGTCACGCCGAAGTACTGAACCGTGAAGAAGACAGTTTAACAACGGTTTTTCCAATTTCATCAAATTATCCACGTCCAGTCTTTCCATCTTTGACAACAATATCCTCTTAAATTTGGCCGTACCATCGCCTCCCAATTGATCGACAAACTGGAAGACGAGATTTTACAAAGGCAATCGATACACCATATTGTAGGTATTCTCCCCTGATATAACTTACTTCCGTTGTGAATTCCGCGGCACCAGGCAGTAGCAAAAAGTTATCGCTTATAATAACTCCCGTGAGTTTCTCTATCGCCCTCCAGAATACATTGTTCTTTTTACCGACGAAGGTGCATCTCCAGCATGTCCGAAGGATATGCTCCAAAGTCTCCCTATCGTTTGAGTCATTGATAACTCCACCGTCGACCATCACAGCCAATATCGTGGCTACTTCGGAAACAATTTCCGTCCCTCCTAACTCGAGGAACTTGAGCAGATCGTTCAGCAGCGCGGCGGTGGGAATCCACGTGTGTACAGGAGAATTTCGGAGATATCGATGCGTGAGTCGCGAAAGAAGCAAGTAATATTCCGACGCAACTTTCCCGCAATTCACCGCGTCACCGTCCACATTCAGCAAATCTTTCGTGTAAAATGTTCTCGCCTGGGAGGGCAAGGTGCTCTGGGTGAGGTGCAAGATGCACATGCCATACAGGCTACTTTGACGGTCCTTCAGTAAACGTATGCTCTCTTCTTGCAATTTTTCCGCGTAGCTGCTCGCGTCTCTCTTCGGCATGACCAAGTCCGCGTTCGCGATGTGCGAAGACAGGATGGCCGTGTATCTCGTGTAATCCTCGTAATTTAGTCCCGTGGCCATCTTCCTCACGTTTTTAATTAGAAACTTGAAAGCGGCGTGTATGTAGAACGATATCAAGCGCGTCACGCCGTTGCAGGCCGTTCCTCCGTACATGTTCAACGAATGCGAGATAAATTCCGCTACGTTGATGCTCGAGCGAATATCGGCGTAAGGTCTGACCTCGATGCCGTTTAAGGAGGACAACCAGTTGTTCAACGCATTCTCAGCGGGGCACGTTCTGCACGTAAGCACGAGACCCGCGTCGTGCAAGAGGAACATCATCAGCGCGAATGCTCTCGGGCCGACTTCGGGACTTTCATCGTATGAATACTTCTTGCAAGTCTGTTCCACGAAAGTCATCGCGTCTTCCTTCGGCAGTGCCTCTCGCAACCAAGCCGTGATCACGCTCCAAGGGGATCCTCCTCTGGCGAGACCCTCTCCCGGAGGGAACGCGGCTAAGAAGTTAGCGAGCAGTGTCAGGTCGCTGATCTGCCGTATGAAGTTCGGTATCGTCCGCAAAAGTTCAATTTGCGACGCGGTACGTAAAACGCGAGAGTGTATGTTCAGGTTCGTCTCCAACAGAGATTTAATGGCACTCAATTCAGCAGCTCGCCAATCGTCCTTGCGTATCCCCTCCTCCTGCGAAGTTGCTCGCAGCGTGTGTACTACGTAAAATATCGCTACCGGGCCCCAGGTCAGCTCGCTGACTTTCTTCAGGAATCTACCGAGCAAACCTGTCTTCGTCATACGTCTGAAGAATGTCGCGAGTTCTCCCACAATCTCCGGACAGTCTTCGTTAGGCTGGCACTCGTAAAGGAAAGAGTTATTGAGGATACTCACGAACAACTCGAGAAACTGATCGTCAAACACGACGCTGTCCAGCTTGCAAATGTGCGACACGCTCCACTTTACGATATTATTATTCTCGTGCCGTAGGACTTTCTCGAGGATGCATCGCAGCCACACGATGTTGAAACAAGATTTATGCTCCTCGCTCGCCTTTACCAAACTGCTCACGTGAGTTAGAGCCGGTGCTACCAAGTGATATTGCTTTTCCTCCAATGCCTCGTACACCAAGAAGAATTTCTGCCTGATGCCGTCCGCTGACAAAGCTGAAGATTCGCTGCAAATAAACGGAGTAACTTCAGCTTTCATTGATCCTAAGTTGCCAGCTTTACTCATGAAATCAGTAGCTCTTCTCATTATGTACAAAGCTTGTTTGCGATATTGTTGCAACGGTGATCGCAATCCCTCTAATAATAATAACCAGAAAGTGTTCTTACTGAAGATATCGCGATGTACGCAAGTTAACTTTGTAGAATGATGCGACGTGAGACACGTATCCGTCATGATACTTAGGACGGTGAGAAATTCTTTCAGATCATTCATCTTGTTCAAGATGTAATCCCACAATGGAAATAATACATGTTCAGAAGCAAAGGTGTTCACCAGCATGGGAAACATCGATGCGAATGCTCCCCATTCCGAATCTTCTTTTATCTTCATCCATGACTTCACAACCTCCAAGTACATAGAACCGATTTCTTCCAATTCCTTCTCATTGCTGCTCCCATCATAATGAGAAAATCGATGTAAGCATAAGGACTCTAACAAGTATTCCAGTACCTTCATGTACATAGCTCTAGTATCGCTATTTGTGGTATAGACACTGTAAGAGTTTAGAAAGTTCCGCAAAAGTTGTTCAATCGATGCGGTGTTACAGTAAAGTACCGTTTGTAGAATGATTATGTCGCGTAAAATCGACATTTCTGCAAGATTTCGCCGATGGTGCGCTGGAAAAATAACTTCGATACTAGAAAGGCATATCTCCGTGTGAGATACCAGGTGTTTCTTAACGTTGCGATCGTATGCTTGTTGATATTCGTAACATAACAGCATTCGATAGATTTCCAGTTCACGTATATTCAACTTTTCTTTGGTCATCTCACAATTATAAAACTGTATCAAATGGCGAGGTAAAACGTCGTCTTCGAGTTTATTGGCCCGTAAAACCGAAATATCTAGCGTTGGGAAACGCAAGTAGCGATCGTGCAAATCCATTTCACACGATCTGTAACTTCTATATACACAGTCAATTATGTACTATTGGTAAAATTCACCTTGTCCAGCTACAGCCTCTTCAGGGTAGCGAACAGGCTAGTATCCGCGATGCATCTTAACCTCCACAAAGGGTGCGTTCAGAAATTCTATTCTACAGGTAGAGTTACGTTTATTAACCCAATCAAGAAATCTGTATTATTTCGATTGGTCAACTGAAAGCTACTCTACCTTTCGAGTGGGATTTCTGAACGCACCGTGAGAGACTAACAAATCGGATTAGTAGTACGACTGTGGAAACGTCAAAAAGTGGTCGTAATCAGAAGATGTAATAACTAATCTATCGTTCTTCACGCGACAAAGTCGTAACGATTACAATGGAGGAGCAGGGCAAACCAACTGTGGTATTTCATCCGATTATTTCCTCCATACAAAAAATTGCACTGTACGAGACAAAATCTGTAAGTTTGATGTTTCTCATTAATACAAATATAATAATTCAGTAATTCTGTTAATATTTTACAGCGATTTTATCTAATGGGTTCGAACAATACTTTAACGCGTTTTCGAGTTTTAAAGATCGATAGGATGGAACCGAGAGAATTGATCGTAGTGGATGACAAAAGTGAATATACCCAGGATGAAATAAAGGATTTAGTCAACATGATAGACATGGGTAATCGAACGAGAACTGGACAACGCAACAGTACAGGCGGTGTTGCGCGTGTTGTATCTGCTTTTGGAATTGTTGGTAAGATCAGGAATAGTTCTTAATGCATATGTATAATAAGTATAGAATTGTTAATAATCGTACGTATATAAGCCTTTGTAATATATATTACATACATAAGTATGTGTACGTGTGTGTGTATATATATATATGTGTTGCATGTAATAATTTATATACAGTTGTAACATTTTTGTTCAAACAATTATCTCTCTCATATTTGTGGTATATGCACTTTATATATTTTATATAATTGATAAAAAGGTTCCTCAGCCTTGTGATGCTTCTTCAATCATTCATGGTACAATGTTTAATTATATCGTCACAATACATAAATGTTCATTGCTAACCACCATTTCTGCACTATCATTATTTCAAATACTAAAAACATCTAATTGGAATTCTTGTTATATGAAACTTGGCTTACTTACATTTGCTTGCTAATAAAGGCAACAATAGTAAAGAACCTGCACCCAGTACGAGTAGATCAGAGGAGCAACAAGAATCACAAAAGCCGCTGCACAAACCAACGCAAACTAAATTTACCTGGAGGAACATGTGGCAGAGAAATACTTTTCCCAGGCTAGTGCCAGCTTTTGGTCTTCTTGGTAAGGCACAATGAGCTTTCTACTGGCAAAACTAAAGGTAGATGTATGTAATTGTCAAACGGAATAACTTTGTTGCATAACGAGAAAATTGGCTTCCGGATAGAAAGCAGTGAGTATGGCAAGTCGCTTGTTAATTGGTCGGCATGGAAGGGTATACATTATTAAATTGTGAATAAATCAAATTAAAAAAAAAGGAAAGCGATATGCATTAAGATTGGGTAACACAGAGTTATTCGGTTAAAGAATAATAAATATCCATTTAAGGTGTGTACAATCAATTGGAATAGTAAGTATTATACGGTAATATTGATCAATCAGCGGTATGTACATGATATTTTTCTTACACGCATGATATTGTAAACAGATATGTGTTTACAATGTTTTCTGTTATGTCATTTGATTGATTGCATGGGTGCTACACGCCAGACAGTGGTTACTATGGTACACAAGCAAACTATTGTTATTTCGTTAAACGATTTGTAGATAGAAACAAAATGTGTATCTCGATATGTCCCGTAAACGATAATTAGAGCAATGAAAAAGAAGATACTGTCCGATACCAGGCTTCGTGCGTTTCCTGGAGGGCTATTACATCATCCTGGTTACGAAACGTCGGCGAGTTGCGGTCGTTGGTCATCACACGATTTACAAAATCGAGGACACCGCGATGATATACATACCGAACGACATCATACGGCTCTTCCATCCGGACGAGCAGAGATACGTAAAGATGTTCCAAAGTATCGATCTCAGCAGTAACTTTTACTTCAGTTACTCGTACGACATGTCGCATACTTTTCAAAGTAACATGTCACCACCGAGGCATATTAAATCTGACGTCTCCACGCCGGCCGGCCGCAAGGAATCTGACGAATCGGAAGACTCGGAAGATTTCTTTAACATGTGGGCATTCAGGAAAGATTGGCAGGCCAGACGGTAGGGTAGCTGTTTCGAGCGAAACACGTAACGGATTTCTTTACTCGAGTGTATTTACAGGGAAGACGAGAAATATGTGGATTACGGTATCCGTAGCAATCCGCATCGCCGCTTCGTGTGGAACTCTCACCTTCTGAGGCCCGTGGAAAAGGATCTGCATCCTGACTGGATACTGTACATAATACACGGCTTCATCGGTCAGTCGAACGTGAGCATCTTCGGCAGATCCATGTACGTTACTATTATCGCAAGGAGAAGCAACAAGTACGCGGGCACGCGATTTCTAAAACGCGGCGCAAATTTCGACGTAAGTCCGTGTCCACTCTCTGCAGCATGTCGCGAATATGAACCGAAACTAATGCGTACAGGGAGATGTTGCCAACGAAGTGGAGACGGAACAGATCGTTCACGATTCTGCCGTGAGCTCATTGAGCAAAGGACGCTTCAGCTCTTTCGTGCAGATGCGCGGCTCGGTGCCCGCTCATTGGAGTCAGGACGTTAGCAAAATGGTGCCGAAGCCGACCATAACTTGCGACCTGGCCGATCCTTACGTAGAAACGGCAGGTACGTGGAAGACCAAGGCATTTACTTCCAAGAGGGGTCGACACGAATGATTTTAGGTGCACATTTCAATCAACTGTTGAGAAGATACGGATCACCGATAATCATCTTAAATCTGGTGAAGAAACGGGAGAAGAAGAAACACGAGAGCACGTTGAGCGAAGAGTTGAGCATGGCTGTGAAGTATTTGAATCAGTTTCTACCTTTGGAACACCATATCCAGTATATAAGCTTCGACATGGCCCGTATGAGCAAGAGGCAAGTTCCAAAGCTAATATAGGATCGCTATTTAAAGGAGTAGTTTAATGAAGCGAGAAAACGCGTTATGAGATGTAAACACATAGCTCGGTTTGACAATTTCTTCAGCAGGCTTGGTTATCAACATGAGTTTAATGGCTATAGCCAGTCTGCTACGCTTACTATCTAATCTACCGGCAACTAACATTTCGGGACATCAAAGCAAACGAAGCAATGTTTCTTCTTACAGAAAAGAAGTGAACGTTATGAGACGTTTAGCGAACATCGCTTACAACGCGGTGTTAAAGACCGGTATTTATCAGTCGCACAATCCGTATTACAGTCAGAGGTATCTGTTCTCGCCGCAGAACAATAACACCAGGAAACTCCACAAGACAAATTCGAGCTCGACTTTGTCGTCGAATTTGTGCGACGCCAGATATTCCATTAACAAGACTGATTGTGGCAGGCGAACGAGTTCCGATTCCAGCACATACGTCAATCGAACAAACGAATGGAGTCAAGTCGAGAACAAAGTGAGAGAGTGTTTCGCCAGAAGGGGAACTTTGCAAACCGGAATCATTCGGACTAATTGCGTAGACTGTTTAGATCGCACCAACACGGCGCAGTTCGCGATAGGGAAGTGCGCCTTGGGATTCCAGTTGTGTGCGTTGGGTGTATTGGAATCTCCCAAGCTCGAGTTCGATTCCGATTGCGTGAGAATGTTGGAAGAACTGTACGAGGACCACGGGGACACTCTAGCTTTGCAGTACGGTGGCTCGCAATTGGTGCACAGAATTAAAACGTACAGGTGAATAAACACGCCATTCAAGGTTTGCCCAGCCAATGAAAATATACGACTTTTCTGTTGTTTAAGGAAAACTGCGCCGTGGACTAGTCAGGGTAACGATATCATGCAAACTTTAAGCAGATATTACAGTAATACGTTCAGTGACCAAGAAAAGCAGCATACGATTAATTTGTTTCTGGGTAAGTAATATCTGCAAAACAAGATTATCGTGTTTGATCAATCGCACGTGCTTTAGGATTGTTCGTACCGGAAGAAGGCAAGCCTCCGATATGGGAACTTTTAACGGATTATTACCTCCACCACCCACCCGCCTGTCGATATCTGCGTAAAACAAAGCTCCTGACGCAGTGGTGGGATAAAAATGTGTTGAAGTTTCTCCCTTACGCGCTCGACGAAGTAACCAAGTCTTGCTCGGAAATGATACAAGTGCAGAACTCAATGGAAGAAATGATCGATGTTTATTACGACTATCACAGGTAATATCGTGTTTCTACACTGAAACAAAAATTTCGTCTGATCGGTGAAATTTCGCTGAAATGAACACAGTTTTTTCTCAAGTCCACTGAACAAATTGTATAATTTCTATAATGTGTTATCAGTTGATTGGTCGCTGTATTAATCAACACAATTTGACATTTTTTGGACCGGTCGCCGATTTTGTAAGATCCAACCGGTTTTTTTTTCCTCAGCGCATACACCCGCATTAGGCATATTGTAAATTGACATATTTTATTATAATTCCTCATATAGATATTATGTTGCTTAACATTCAATCTAATATTTTTAGGCCGTATGAATTGTCTTTGCTGTCTGAAGTATATGCGTATAAAATTAGTCACTCTGTCAGAGATTTTATGCCGCACTTCACCACCTGCTATAGTCCATTTGCCGTCCGTGTGCGTCCAGGCAGACGGAGAGAAGAAGCGGGTAGTAAAAACTTGAATATGAAAAATCCATCCATGACCGGCCAGAGTAGTACGAGCAGTACAACGTCTAGTGCGAGGTAATCTTTCTGGAAATAATGTAGCTCATCGATTGATTAAAAAAATTCGATATCAGCATGGATTGTGTGTCGTAGTTCGAGCGAGGACTCTAGTTCGGATGAAGATGAAAGCCATCAACAAATGGACGATTCCCAATTAGTAGCTTCCAAGGACAGCTCGGAACTAATGTCCTTCGAATCTTTGTTTCCGTCTATGAAAGAAGTTTACGGCACACAGCCGGAATATCCGAAGCGAAACGATATAATTCTCTATAAGAGGTGAGCGATACGAATATTTCTGCAACTGCGAATTTTATACGTGTTTTAACTAATGTATCCCGCTTCTCGGCGAAGATTTGTCCTAATAGGACGCAACGCAACGTATTCCACCGATCATACTAAACTACGTTCGAAATTGATCCAGCAAACATCCTTTCCCGAATCTATAGTCCCTGTGGTTGCGATACCTATTGTTAAAGATGCGAGCATTAGCATATATGAGCAATATGTGAAAAGAGCTACAGTAAGTAGATAGATTTATATATTCTCTCTTTTTACTGATAAAAGTGCTTCTGAAAAACCACTTGATTGACTGAGGAGCCAAATTCAAAGCACTTTTATCGATGAAAGGGAATACAGACCATAGTATTGACCAGAGATTTCCTCTTAAATTGGTGTATATAAATGTGTTTGCAGAAAGGTGGTTCTGTACCAAATCCAAACGATATGAACCTATACGAGACTTATACTACTCAGCACAAACTGTTCATGGAACGAGTATGTTCCGGATAAATCAACATTACCTCAAATCTGTTTTATAAACGGAAATAGTGTATGTATATTAGATGTATGAGAAATAAAGCATTTAATATCACTGGCACTTAATTTATTGAAACCAAGTACAGAGAAATATATTTTTCCATGTTACCCAAGTCTGTACAAGAAGTACAGCACTTGCAATTGTCCCGACAATTTACTTCAGTTTCTTCTTCGGGCGGATATTGTTTGTGTGACCGCACTTCTTCTTACGGCAATTTGTTGCACGGGGATGAAGACGGGCGTAGCACTTGCGACAGATCATTTTGTCACAGTTGTATTTCTGAGCGAGTATACGTAGCGTTGGCTCAATCACACCTCCTCGGAGACGAAGCACAAGATGGAGAGTAGATTCTATAAAAAGAAAAAAAAAAAGTTATCTTTCTAATTGAACTATAGTTATACTTGGTATATCTGAGAAAAACATTATTGCAAAAACTCTCTAAGATTAGCTCGAATAGCCACACTTATATGTACCCTTTTGAATATTATAGTCGGACAAAGTACGTCCGTCCTCCAACTGCTTGCCAGCAAAGATTAGTCGCTGCTGATCAGGCGGAATTCCTTCCTTGTCCTGGATCTTAGCCTTTACATTTTCGATTGTGTCGGATGCCTCCACCTCAAGGGTGATCGTTTTACCCGTGAGGGTTTTCACGAAAATCTGCATGGTGGTGGTTACCTAAATCGTATGAGAGTTACTGACACTGCGGATTTATCAAGAGACGGTGAGAGGGACAAACGTTAGGACCGAAGAGAAATTTAGAACAATCGAGAAATTTCAACAACGTAGAATCACGTGTGCACGCGATGCGTTGGCACTGCATCGCAATTGTTTCTCACATTATTTTTGTTTAAGCGTTGCTCGGATCCTCGCGTTTAACAAATAGGAGAGCGACGGACATTACGCACCGATAAGGATCAAATACGAAATTAATTACGGGAGAAAATACGACGAGAAACTAAAAGAATATCGTGTACTCACTTTCCTCCTCTCGTCGCAAAACACAACCTAGAAAGAGCTCACCTCGATGATGGCTGACAAAATTGCGCACGCAAACTTAGCTACGGTAACGTGCATCACTTCCGCTGGCAAACACTGCAGCTTGCGCGACATCTCGCGGTGCTTCGAGATCTATCGTAGTAAATACGATTTCAAAAAACGTGAAACTACCATTTGCATTGTTACCTTCCGTAAGTACCCTTACTTTCTCTCATTATTATACAGTGTCTGCCAATGTAATTATAATAAGCAATTAGTACTAAATGTCTTTTCTGTTACAATTTCGCTAGACGAATCTCCATCAATCCTAAGAAGACTTCTCTATATATTTGATAAGTTTCCTGTCGTCGAGCTGTTTCTTGCGAATTTCCAACCGTTATCATGTGTGTTTTCAGGCTGCTGGAAATCTCTTTTAGAATCTGTCACGCGATGAAATAAACAATAAGGTGTATCCAGACACTTACCTGAGCATTTTCACTATTTCAGTCTTTCAATATTTTGACATTTCCAGAAAGAAATAATTATATATGAAATTTGTCTCTGTGTGGCCATATATAATCAAATATGATTATATATGTTCCACATGTAAAAAATGTTATATGAATAGAAGTAAATGCTTATATTTATGGCTGTCCACGATGTAAACAATTGAACAATTTTGTTCGTTTTTCATTCAACAATATTTTCATTTCTTATATAATTATATGTAGCTACATAATACATAAATCATATATAGGCCTTTTTCTCCAGGTATTGAGTGGAAACATTGATGTTATGATATACTGTTAGGTCCTCCCGATCAGAGACTGTCAGTCGCGTCGGAATTAATGAACTTTTTGGAAAGAATGACCTTTTCGATCGTTTCAGATGAGCACGCGACATAGGATTGGGTGAGATAACCGCCCCGGGAAACAGGATCATCTCGAACTTATCTGTACGATTCCACGATAGTGGTGGACGTTCTCGGCCACGTTTCGCCGGATGTTGATCGGTTTATTTCGATGGCCGTCCCCCGCGCCTTTCTCCCCGCGGAAAAAAATCCGATGGAGATTACGAGTCGAAATAAACGGGGCGCGCGGATAATATTCACGGTTGCCCGCAGAGCCTGGTCGGCGCGTGCCAGTCGCAGATCACGAGAGGCTCGGACGACGACGGCGGCAGCAGAGATCTGATAGAGGTGGAGATGGCCGCCGTTTTGAGGAGGAAACTTCGTGTCGTGTCGGGCGCGCTCAACGGGAAGGCGCTCGTCGCCGCACGGTAGGCAGTTTGTCACTCTTAACGCGGCCCGTTATTTATTCTCAGATTGCGTTCGTAGGTCTCTGGCAAAGTCATCGGTCCGAGGGGACATCAGCGAAGGATGGATCAGTAAACTCCTGGTGAGGAAGATCGAGCCCACGAAAGAGTCGCACTCGCGGATGCTCTCCGACAAAGAGGTCATCTATGCGCTGCACACTCATAACATTCGGCCGGACTCGATCGACAAATATCTGACCAACTAGTGAGTCGCATCTTTCCATCTCGCATAGGATTTTTCAATAATACATCTGAATTCATTCTATTGTCGTGTAATTGATTAATATATCAGGTAAGGTGATTTTGGAGACCTACATGAAAATCTGTGTATTCTTGGTGTTCCGCTATATATAACGTTAAAATTCTCGGTTAGTATTATTAACATCTCAATTGTATTCTTTTTGTCCCGTAACCTCTACAGACTTGTGAAAAGTCTAAGGGAACAACATTGATTAAATCCATTCGATGATTTGGACTTTAGAGGTAAATCAAGAGGTTGACAAACATTTACCAGTTTTAACTGACACTAATTTTCTGAATGTTTGCTTCTTTCTCGTTGCTTGGGGCAGATATTGGTGAAACACAAATTTGCCTTGTACACATTTTCTTCTTTTTCCGCATAATTACAGTGAGGAAAATGTCAACCTCATACATTCGAAAAAATCTGACTTAAATTGCGAGTTGGTCGGTTCGTGGACAGTCGAGGTTGGAGACTTGGATCAAGCTTTACATCTGTGGCAGTGTACAGGTGGCTATGAAAGTATAGACCATGTGCAGAATGTGCTTTCTCAGGATGAGGTACAAAATATCTTGGTTATGTAGAAATATCAGAGGTACGTGGTAATGAATATTTGTTTCCCGCAGGCTTATAAACGATTGCTCAGGGAAAGGGGAAATTACTTAAGGTCGCGTCACTTGCAATATCTATTGGCGTTCAGTTATTGGCCACCGCTGGTAAAGCGTCCAGCTTCGAACAAGTATGAGATACGCAGTTACAGCTTGAAACCGGGTACAATGATTGAATGGGGAAACAACTGGGCCAAGGCCATCAATTACAGACGCAACAACGATGAGCCTTTCGCTGGTTACTTTTCACAAATTGGTAGACTATACAATGTTCACCACATTTGGTGTAAGTAGAACACTCTCAATTGTTATTTCTTTATGTCATTAAATTATGATTAATTATAAATGTCTCGATGGTTTTGTCAGGAAGAAATGTGTTCCAAAACGTTTTAAAATTTTGTTGCGAGACAAGCGACAGAGTGATTTACAAAACTGATTATTTTTCTCAAAAGCGTGCAAACTGTGATACCTAATTTTTACTTTCAGGTTACAAGAATCTTCAATCGCGCAAAGAAACGCGCGAAAGCGCTTGGCGATCACCTGGCTGGGACGAATGTGTCGCTTATACAGTACCTTTAATAAGAGAAATGCATTGTCGCATACTAAACCCGACCACGTTTTCACCCACGAAATAAGATTTTACGCAAGATGCGAACGCGCAAATGCATTTGTATATTACTGATCACATTTCTTATATACATATATCGATTGTAATATTGTAAAAAAACATTTGTTACATGTATACACTGTAGATGTAATAACTATGTCAACTATACGCGCAACATGAGGAGAGCTACAAATTTTTGTTGTATTACAACTGGCAGAAGATGTAGTTTGTTATTATTAGAACTTGTGTATTGCAGCAAAAGCGTTTCTTTCATATATATATATATATATATATATATATACAAACACGCTCTATGCATATACGTCATATTTTCGCAATGTCAGTTTGAAGCACATTTATATATATATATACACACACATATATACGCGTGTATAGATGAATATAAACAAACGATCTTTATACTTGTACATCTTTTCCTCTTTTCCAAATCTGCCGGACGTTACATAACTCGAAAATATACCACGGAAAAAAAGTATAATATTCTCGCACATTTTGATTTCACTCGTAATTGCCTGTTTTTATAAATATCAAGTTGATCAAAGAATCTATTATGGAAAAGACATTCCCGATTGTTCTAGAACACTGCGTGTGAATACAGATTGTGAAAACCGATCTCTGCATATTATTGAGGAGGATCGGCAAACTGCATCAAAATTAGTTCACACTTCAATATTTTTTATTTTTATTATCTTATTAATGCATTGGATTAAACAGCCTTGACTATTTACTTTAAGCCTTAATTTATGATGCAGGTGGCATCTTACATACATAGTTTGTTGTTCTAGTCGTCGATTTAGTTACAAAACGTTTTCATACGTTACTTAAATTTAAAAATAAACCTGTACTATCCTCATAATGATTATATCATGAACGGTTATGACTCTCGATTATTCGCATTACGTACATTGCATCTCACGATCAGTTATTTATCAAAGGAATATAGATACCTATCGTGATAAAATTTTACATTTTATGCTGTATTTTTATATATGTATCATAATAATGGTAATAGTAAAATAATAGGGAATATATTTATATCTATTATATGTTATCTCTATCTCACCCTACTAATGAGTTGTGTGAGCACATATTGACTATAAATATTAGCTCATCCGTTCAGGCAATTGCATTAAATTCAAAACACTTTAACATTGCCACCAAGAGTCCTTAATAAAATTACTCTCTCTTTAATTATAGAGTTAATAAAAAGATTTACGACTCAACCATTTAGAGAAAACGGAATGTTCTGTTCCGAATGAAATGCAATAAAACGTCAAAGTAATATGTGCTTAATAAATTGCATGTGAAAGCATTCGCGTACAATCTTGAATAATTTCAATAATACATCGTCGTGAATGTTTGATAAGCACATTTCTTCCTGAAATTATGCCACATTAAATTGAGAATGATTAAATTTGAGTGTATTCTAAAGAAATATCAGTTTTCTATCTCGTGTAGAATACATATGGGAGAAAAGAGAGAGAGATGAGAGATTCTGCTTCACAAAGTTAGAGTTTCAATAGAGTTTTTAACATTTCTATTGGATGTGTGTGCGCAACGACTGATTCTCTACTTGCTACAGATATTCCAAATGGCGTTTATTCTATATGAGAAAAAATAACTAATTCTTGTCACTCTATTCCTACCTTGCTGCAAAAAGAAAAGAAAGAAGACTACAAGGCTGTTAAAAATAAAAATTACAATTTATCTAATTAAAGCCAGAGACTGTATTGAGAAGTATATATAGTTACATTTACTTCAGTATTCTGACGTGTACAAAAACAATTCTCTTGTAATTGGCCAATATAGCGGAAAGAACACAATTATACAAATTGTATTGGAATTATTACCTCAAGTATATATTGCGTTTTCATCTAACGACCTAAGTGAATCGTAATCTGGCAATACAAACCATTAATCAATGTTACGAAATCACACCTTACAAATGGAAGTAAGTGAAGAGTGAGCTCGTCAAATAATCACAAGCATAATTCGATAATACGATATTTGATATGCTATGCCTATGATTAATTGTTCAGCATTATCACATTCCAAATTCAACTAATAGAGTTTGCCACGTTTCTTTTTTTGGAAAATTTGATAAATCTTTCGGTGTGACTAAATAGTAGATGTTGTAATAAAAAGTCCCATATATCGCAGTTCTATGTAAAGCGAATAAATATTTACAAAACGCTAGCAACATCGACAAACAATTTCCTAAATTGGGTATTTAGCGAGTTTATTACCGATTACACAGACTATGATGAAGAATTACTTCGTCCCTTTTTTCTTCTTCCTTTTTTTTTTCTTTTTTGTTACATACATACAACTTAATTCAGAGATAACTCGTGCTATAATTAAAAGTGCATATAAAACTTAACAATCTCTTTTTGTTTTTTTTTTCCCTTACATAGAACCTTCCTGACGAGAGGATAAATTTGAAGTCTAGAACTTTAATAACTGCGATTATATTCAATTAGTAGTAATACTTATCGTAAGAGAAAGACCTACTGTATACAACGTATTAAATTAATCCAACAGCTTTCTCCCGAACCGTACATACGTCTCGCATGATTTTGGAATTCGATTTGTTAGCACGAACAATCTCTGTTAGTCCGTAATGCTTGAAATTGATAATAGCAATTGATCTCGGACATTTCTCTCTACTGGAACAACCTAAGGAAGAATTTAAATACATATCTTCATACACGTGGATGCCTGTCTTTTCTTATAATAAATTGTTGCATTTCGATTGCTATGTATATATATATCATGTGTCTATATTTACACGTTATATAAAGGGGAAACATTTCGGTTGATTGTGACGGTTTTCCGTTGTTGTTTTACAGTTTGGAACATATAATCATGACAACGATTGTGTCGTTTGCGTTTCACTACAGTCGTTCGTACCACTAATAATAATTGAACACACTTTTAGATATTCGTTCGATGCATGCTGATCATTCGATCATTTTCGTTTCCGTGCGCCGGATATTCGCCGAGAGAATTTCGTACGTGTAAACACGTATACAATGAGAATTGGAATGTGTGATGCATTGCAATCGATAATGTAAACAATACAACGTACACTATGTGTAAGTGTTGTTTGAAGCGCTCTCGCACATTTCCTATTTATTCCTCTTTCTTTTGTTTAAACGTACATTACACATGGGAAAAAAAAAGAATCTACGGACTTACGAAATAAAATGCAACATTTTTGGCCATGCCTCTTTCACCATTCTTATCTCTATCTAAAGCTAAACACATTTCTTCTTTTTCTGTTTTTTTTTTTCTTTAATTTACAGAGAATCTCAATGCATAAGCGTAAAATGAAATTATAAAACATTCTTTTTATAATATGCATTAATTAATTGATATAATACAAACATTTGATTGGCATTGATTGACACTTTCTCATCCATCGCTTACAAGTATTTCATGGTGTCTTACTGCTCTCTCAATATATTAGAAAGAAATTCGATTATCGTTGAATAGTAAATTTACATTTCCTCTTTACGAAATAACAATAAAATGCTTTATACATAAAACTTATTGACACTTCATAATCCAAACGTAAGTGGACCATACGCATTGCTAAGTATTAATTATATAGTAATAGCACCTCTTTAAAGAGCGTTACGATTAATGGAAATACATCTTAGTAGAAAATTCTTGACTTTAACACGAAACGATACTTGTTCTCGTTGTTTCTGCAGAGAAAGAAGTGTTCTTCTTGACACATTGTAACGAAACGAACATCGTCGAGAGGAACAACAGTCACAATCATTTGGATTTTAATTTCATATTTAATATTAAATGGGTTTAGTGATATAAGAAACAAAAATACATGAAAGGATAGTAAGTGAGAAAAAAATGAAACGTGTATTTTGATGTAAAAGTACAACATTGGGATGTGTACTGGATGAAATTTTAAAAATAGTCGTAGAATATATAATACAATATAAAAATATTGAAGTGATACAAAGAATCAGATTCAAACATTTGCGAGTAAATGCGGAAGAATCATCGTTCTTTCAACGTCAAACGCAAAGTTTCGTGAAATAGTGATGATCGGTCGAATTGAGAGAAACGAGAGAAAGAATGAATATTTTAGATTCGCATAGTGTATATATCAAGATAAATTATTACGATTATCGGTATAAAAATGTAGAGTGTTTTGGTTAAGATAATATCAATTAGTCTTACAATTAAGGTGTTTTGTATCACGGTTAATATCTGCGTTATGATTATCCTCTTTCGTCAATTATATATATATATTTTTTTTTATTTTATGTTTAACATAAAGAAATATTCTTAAACGTTACATTAGATGAGAAAGTATTTGTATCATATATTAAACAATAGATAGACTATAATTCGAAATAAATTCACTTAGTAATGACGCAGAAAGTATTTGGAATAATAATATAATCTGCTATTATTAAATAACAGAAAGAGAATACTCTTATATCTTTTGAGACAATTTATAATAGATAAATTATTACATTATAAATAATTTTTACATTAACTTTATTAACTTTATGTAAGAACTACGCGTATCTATTTAGAAATTTAAGATACAACCAACAATAAAGAATTTATCATTGCTAGCAGAAAAGTTGACAGGAATT